TTTTATTATGGGACCAGTCCAGTTTATTGTTAATGTGAACACCCAGGTACTTGAAGCTGTCCACCAGCTCATTGTCCTCCCCCTGGATGTTCAGCAGCGTGTGGGAAAGTGGTTTCCTCCTGAAATCGATGATCATCTCCTTGGTCTTACTGGTGTTCAAGCACAAGTGGTTGCGCTCACACCAGTCGACAAAGTCCTTGATAACCGACCGATATTCCAGATCGTTCCCCTCAGACACACAGCCCACAATGGCCGAGTCGTCGGAGAACTTCTGCAGGTGACAGCTGTGTGTGTCGTGTGTGAAGTCTGAAGTGTAGATGGTGAAGAGAAACGGTGAGAGGACAGTGCCCTGAGGGGCCCCAGTGCTGCAGACTACCACCTCAGACTCACAGCTGCGCAGCCGCACGTACTGTGGTCGGTCCGAGAGGTAGTCGATGGTCCATGCGGTGAGGTAGTTGATGGTCCATGCAGTGAGGCTACTGTCCACTCCCGCGTCCTCCATCTTCCCCCGCAGCAGCGCCGGTCTGATGGTGTTGAAAGCACTGGAAAACTTAAAGAACATGACCCTCACAGCGCTCCCGGCGGGCTCCAGGTGGGAAAGCGTCCGCTGCAGCAAGTAGATGACGGCGTCCTCTACTCCGATGTTGGGCCTGTAGGCGAACTGCAGCGGGTCCAGGGTGGGGCTGACCACAGAGCGGAGGTGGGTGAGGATGAGCCGCTCCATGGTTTTCATCAGGTGGGAGGTCAGTGCGACTGGTCTGTAGTGAGCCGGTTCCTTGGCGTGCTGTGTTTTAGGAACCTGGATCGCACAGGAGGTCTTCCACAGGACAGGGACCTTCTCCAGGCTGAGGCTCAGGTTGTACATGTAGCTGAGGACCCCAGAGAGCTGGTCTGCACAGGTCCTCAGCAGCCTGGGACTGATCCCGTCCGGTCCTGCGGATTTCCTCTGCTTCAGTCGCTGGAGCTGACTCTTCACCGGGTCCGGTGTGATGGAGAGGGGGGAAGACTGGGGTGTATTGTCTCCATCCGCTGTCCCGCTGGCCCTTTGTCCACAGCCAGAGATGTTCTTTAGGCCTCTCCACAAGTCACGGGCGTTTCCCTGGGCCAGCTTCTGCTCCAGCTTTTTGCCATATTCCCTCTTGGCCCTCCTGATCCTCCACTGGAGCTCGTGCTGGATCCTCTTCTGCTCCTCTTTGTCCCCTGAGATGAAAGCCCTTTTCTTGAGGTTCAGGAGGGCTTTAAGCTCAGAGGTCATCCATGGGTGGTTGTTAGAAAAACACCGTACCTTCTTAGTTGGTACAGTGTTATCCACACAGAAGAGGATATAGTCTGTAATACAGTGTGTCAGGCCAATATCATTATTCCTACTGTGAAGGGGAAAACATTTTTTTCCCCAAATTCTTGCCTGAAGTAGCTATCTATCATTTATTGGGAGCTACTACACCCATCAAAACTGGGAAAACTGTCTTTGTTGATTTTTAGTGAATTTTTCCAATTTCCTTTTCGTTACTGTGAAGGGGAAAACTAATTTTTTCTCAAATTCTTGCCTGTAGTAGCTAGCTTTTGTTCAAATAGAGCTACTACACCCATCAAATCTGGGAAAACTGTCTTTGTTGATTTTTAGTGAATTTTTCCAATTTCATTTTTATTACTGTGAAGGGGAAAACAATATTTTTCCCAAAAGTTTGGCTGTAGTAGCTAGCTATTGTTCAAATGGAGCTACTACACCCATCAAAACTGGGAAAAACATCTTTGTTGATTTTTAGTGATTTTTTCCAATTTCATTATTCCTACTGTGAAGGGGGAAAACATTGTTTTCCCAAATTCTTGCCTCTAGTAGCTAGCTATCATTTATTGGGAGCTACTACACCCATCAAAACTGGGAAAACTGTCTTTGTTGATTTTTAGTGAATTTTTCCAATTTCCTTTTCGTTACTGTGAAGGGGAAAATATTTTTCCCAAATTCTTGCCTGTAGTAGCTAGCTATTGTTCAAATGGAGATACTACACCCATCAAAACTGGGAAAAACATCTTTGTTGATTTTTAGTGAATTTTTCCAATTTCATTTTCGTTACTGTGAAGGGTAAAACAATATTTTTCCCAAAAGTTTGGCTGTAGTAGCTAGCTATCATTGATTGGGAGCTACTACACCCATCAAAACTGGGGAAAAAGTCTTTGTTGATTTTTAGTGAATTTTTCCAATTTCATTTTCGTTACTGTGAAGGGGAAAACTAAATTTTTCTCAAATTCTTGCCTGTAGTAGCTAGCTATCATTGAATGGGAGCTACTACACCCATCAAATCTGGGAAAAAAGTCTTTGTTGATTTTTTGTGAATTTTTCCAATTTCCTTTTTGTTACTGTGAAGGGGAAAACAATATTTTTCCAAAATTTTGGCTGTATTAGCTAGCTATCATTCAGTGGGAGCTACTACACCCATCAAAACTGGGAAAATTTACTTTTTAAACACACCCTTTTTATTGTATTCACCAACCCATCTGCAACATTTTGTCAAATCTTGCACTTTGCAGACAGTCCCTTGTTGAGAGCTTAGCACAAGTATGAGCGGAGATTTCATCTTCATTTTTTTTCGTGTTATAAATCGTCAGCTGCAGCCTAAGTCAAGTTTTTTTTTGATAGGTGGCAACATTGTTAACAGTATTAAATACTACACTCTTCACTAAACTGAAAATACGGACAGACTTTGAATCCAGGGGGATTTTGTTCGAATATCAGGCGAATATCAAACGTTCGGCTAACTTCACCTCGGTCTTTGTTTGACTTCTGCGTCCTCTCCTGCGTCTAAAAGATAAGCAGGTCAGGGTAAGGTAGTAGTGTGATGGGAGACCTCTGTCACCAGTGTTCACAGCAGGGCGCTCATGCATGCTGCTGTTTTAATCAAGTCACAGCTAAACGCATAGCGCCCCCTAGTGGTTGTCCGCACACAACAGGGAATAACATTGGATTACACAACTGTATTATCAACAGCTTCGTCATACGTCATATCTGACACTTAACCCGCGCTGCTTCAATCACATCGACCTCCACAATTCTGGTCATTTTCTCGTGATGCTAAAGTACAATATAAACTGTAAACCTGTAAATATCTCATGATGCTGCTAACTACAGTATACTGCACAAGTGACTTATCCTAGAGTCAAGTGCAATTATAGCTCCAGATTTGTATTGTGTTATATTGTATTATCTTATGTTAAACGATCCTGTTAGATGTGTGCAACCTGAGTGCTCTTAAGATAAGATTTTATTGATCTCACACTGGAGAAATATACATGTCATATTTGGCATAGATAAAATCACTCAGCTTGTGCAAAAGACACAAGTGTGCAAACATGATAAAGGTTAAAAACGTTTTTTGTGCAGGATATAATTATGTACACTAAAAAGTGGCAATAAAGAAACAGTGGCTGGTTCTTCAGTCCTAGGTCGTTAGTGAATTAAAGTGACTTATTGTACAGTCTGACAGCAGTGGGGATGAAGGCCCTGCGGTAGCCCTCTTTCTTGCATTGAGGGTGCCTCAGTCTTCCACAGAAGGAGCTCCTCAGCAGTCCTATGCAGTGGGAGGTGTTGTTTATGATGGTGTCTTGGCTAGCCCTCCTGTCCCTCAACTCCTCCAGAGTCCAGGGAGCAGCCCAGAGCGGAGCCAACCCTCCTGACCGGATTGTTCAGTCTTCTCCTGTCCCACTCTGTGCAAATGTAGTGTATGGCAGAGGCTATCAGTCATAAAAGGTCCTGAGGAGAAGCCTGCTCACTCTTTGTTTTCCTAGTGTTTATATTGTATCGTCTTTAATAAATACTGATAGGACCGGATAAGGATGACCAGAAGCCTTCATTCCGAGAGGAAACTCAAGGTCTCCAAGCAACCGTCTGCACAAAATTCACGCTATGGAAATGCCCATAAAATTGGCTCGGGCTAACTTGTGTTCAAGGCGGCTTCTTCCACATTGAGGCTAACACTTTGGTGATGTCAGTCCAAATATGGTTGGTGAATTTAGAGCTCTGTGTGCAGATGCTGCTCCCTCCTGACATTTCCTTTTGATAGTCTTTCATATGTTGCAGTTTTTTATTAAAAGAACATATTTACAGACGACATTTATAAACAGCTCCAACAGAAACAGTGATTGTTCTAAAGCTACGGCAGAGAAACAAGAGGCTGAGCATGATGCAGACAAGAGGCCGGTGGCTCAACACAGGTTTTCAAGCACATTGACAAATGTATTAAAGCTGAGGTACCCAACTTTTCTGATTCATAAATACAAGAGACCTCAACACATCATTTCAACTCAGAAAACATAAACGGACAGTTAGGTACCGTAGCTTTAATCATCTGCATGTGGACACCTCAAAGTGAATCTTAAATCTGTAAAAATGTTTTTTTTTTTGTTTTTGGAAAAAGAAAATCTTGTGTATGTCAAGTTTAAGGCACAGAACGTCACACACTCAACACCTTTTCAGGAACACAGCATTTAAGAACCTTGAATTGACTCATTTAAGATTTTGTTTTTATGAATCCTTAAAAAAAAAAACAGATTTAAATGAAAGCCATATTTTTGAACCCGGCGACATATGCAGCAGCAGCCCTGCCCACTTTTATATCTTAAGTTTTGTTCAAAGTGCTGCAAAGGATTTACATTCAACAAGGAGAAATGAGAAGAGGAGAGGAGGAGGACTGTAGTTTTGAACCAGTTTTTGTCTCATTCTTCAAAAAAGTAGATTTGGTTCAATAGTTTTAATTCTGGTAGTTCAAGAATCTGACCCTTCTGTCAAACTTCAGTTTTTTAAATGAAAAACTCAAAAGAAACAACGTCTGATCTGATCATTCAAACGTTGCTTTGATTTTCACCTGATTTTCTCCCAATCCTAAAACTTCAGTTCTGCTCAAATTTTGTGACAGAATCTATGTCCAAAAAAAAAAAAATCCAGGTGCAGGCCAGCTTTAGTCCAGGTTAAAGATTCCATCTGGTCCAGAACTGTGAAAGAGGTTCTATTTGGTGTCTGCTCCTGTCCCATTGGCAGGAGACCTTTGGGAGGAGGTCCCTGGGAAGACCCCAGGTCTCTCAGCCGGAGGACTGGGTCTCTCAGCCGGAGGACTGGGTCTCTCAGCCGGAGGACTGGGTCTCTCAGCCGGAGGACTGGGTCTCTCAGCCGGAGGACTGGGTCTCTCAGCCGGAGGACTGGGTCTCTCAGCCGGAGGACTGGGTCTCTCAGCCGGAGGACTGGGTCTCTCAGCCGGAGGACTGGGTCTCTCAGCCGGAGGACTGGGTCTCTCAGCCGGAGGGCTGGGTCTCTCAGCCGGAGGGCTGGGTCTCTCAGCCGGAGGACTGGGTCTCTCAGCCGGAGGACTGGGTCTCTCAGCCGGAGGACTGGGTCTCTCAGCCGGAGGACTGGGTCTCTCAGCATGGGAACACCATGGGATTCCTTCACACGACCAAGACTTGGATAAAGCCGAACATAATGGATGAATGTTTGTGTGAAAACTCAGTTTGACTAATTACTGAAGAAGTCTAGATCTGGTTTAGAAGGATCAATCCTTTAGAGTTCTGGTCCAGATCCTGTCCAGGCTCAGTTCAGTCCTGGTTTAGACCTGGTCCAGGCTCAGTTCAGTCCTGGTTTAGACCTGGTCCAGGCTCAGTTCAGTCCTGGTTTAGACCTGGTCCAGGCTCAGTTCAGTCCTGGTTTAGACCTGGTCCAGGCTCAGTTCAGTCCTGGTTTAGACCTGGTCCGGCTCAGTTCAGTCCTGGTTTAGACCTGGTCCAGGCTGCGCTCAGTTCAGTCCTGGTTTAGACCTGGTCCAGGCTGCGCTCAGTTCAGTCCTGGTTTAGAACTGGTCCAGGCTGCGCTCAGTTCAGTCCTGGTTTAGACCTGGTCCAGGCTGCGTTCAGTTCAGTCCAGGTTTAGACCTGTTCTTCAGTAGATAGTGAGGCTGACCGAGCGGTTCATTTTCTTGCCAATTAGCCTGGTGCTCCTAGATCCAGTCTGGACCGTGGTCCTGGGTCCAGTCTGGACTGTGGACCTGGTCAGGACCCGGTCTGTGGACAGGACTTTCTCCTCTGCCGCAGCTCGGGCCATCTGGGCTTTTTTCAGCTCTCTGCAACAGAACATTTTTTTTTAATTTATGAGACATGAAGAGGAATAGGAGCAGTAACAGCAGTAGTAAACCCTTTCGTACTTTTGCAGCAGCGCGTTCTTGAACTTCTCGGCGTTTAGCTCCACTCTCAGCTGGTCGGCATCCATCTTGGCGGCGGTGAGGAGGACAGGGTTTCTCAGCAGCTCAGAGGTCGAAGGTCGCCGCGAGGGCTCAGGGTGAATCATCAACTGGTGGAAACATTAAAACATTCACATCAATGGGATGATTAAAAATGTCCTTTCCTCATCACCCCTACAATGAAGCATGGGGGGGGAGCATCAGGCTGTGGGGACTAGAGCCCTGCATGGGCCTATTATCTGGGCACGAGCCCGGCCCTGGCCCGATATAGTTTCTGAATTTTCAGGCCCAAAACCCGCATCAAGGCCGACTTTTTTTTGTTTTTGTTTTTTAACTCCCATAACAATGTTTTAGCGTAGTATATAGTGCCGCGCACTGATATGAACACAGGCTTGGCTAGAGGGCGGAGTTATACAGTGCGAAAGTATTCGGCCCCCTTGAACCTTTCGCCACATTTCAGGCTTCAAACATAAAGATATAAAATTGTAATTTTTCGTCATGAATCAACAACAAGTAGGACACAATCGTGAAGTGGAACGACATTTATTAGATAATTTAAACTTTAACTAATAAAAAACTGAAAAGTGGGGCGTGCAATATTATTCGGCCCCTTTACTTTCAGTGCAGCAAACTCACTCCAGAAGTTCAGTGAGGATCTTTGAATGATCCAATGTTGTCCTAAATGACTGATGATGATAAATAGAATGCACCTGTGTGTAATCAAGTCTCCGTATAAATGCACCTGCTCTTTGATAGTCTCAGGGTTCTGTTTAAAGCGCAGAGAGAACCATGAAGACAAAGGAACACACCAGGCAGGTCCGAGATACTGTTGTGGAGAAGTTTAAAGCCGGATTTGGATACAAAAAGATTTCCCAAGCTTTAAACATCTGAAGGAACACTGTGCAAGAAATTATATTGAAATGGAAGGAGTATCAGACCACTGCAAATCTACCAAGACCCGGCCGTCCCTCCAAACTTTCATCTCAAACAAGGAGACGACTGATCAGAGATGCAGCCAAGAGGCCCATGATCACTCTGGATGAACTGCAGATAACTACAACTGAGGTGGGAGAGTCTGTCCATAGGACAACAATCAGTCGTTCACTGCACAAATCTGGCCTTTATGGAAGAGTGGCAAGAAGAAAGCCATTTCTCAAAGATATCCATAAAAAGTCTTGTTTAAAGTTTGCCACAAGCCACCTGGGAGACACAACCAAACATGTGGAAGAAGGTGCTCTGGTCAGATGAAACCAAAATGGAACTTTTTGGCCACAATGCAAAACGATATGTTTGGCTTAAAAGCAACACAGCTCATCACCCTGAACACACCATCCCCACTGTCAAACATGGTGGTGGCAGCATCATGGTTTGGGCCTGCTTTTCTTCAGCAGGGACAGGGAAGATGGCTAAAATTGATGGGAAGATGGATGGAGCCAAATACAGGACGAAAACCTGTTAGAGTCTGCAAAAGACCTGAGACTGGGACGGAGATTTATCTTCCAACAGGACAATGATCCAAAACATAAAGCCAAATCTACAATGGAATGGTTCACAAATAGACGTATCCAGGTGTTAGAATGGCCAAGTCAAAGTCCAGACCTGAATCCAATCGAGAATCTGTGGAAAGAGCTGAAGACTGCTGTTCACAAACGCTCTCCATCCAACCTCACTGAGCTCGAGCTGTTTTGCAAGGAAGAATGGGAAAGAATTCCAGTCTCTCGATGTGCAAAACTGATAGAGACATACCCCAAGCGACTTGCAGCTGTAATTGCAGCAAAAGGTGGCGCTAAAAAGTATAAGCGCAAGGGGGCCGAATAATATTGCACGGCCCACTTTTCTGTTTATTTGTTAAATTTTTTTAAGTTATCCATTAAATTTTGTTCCACTTCACGATTGTGTCCCACTTGTTATTGATTCTTGACAAAAAATTACTTTATATCTTTATGTTTGAAGCCTGAAATGTGGCGAAATGTTGAAAGGTTCAAGGGGGCCGAATACTTTCGCAAGGCACTGTACATGGTAGTGATGTGTTGCAATGAGTTCTGTGTGCGGAGTGAACGGCCGCAGCTGTATGATGCCCAGAAGTCGCAACACACTTGTAAGTAACGCTGTGTGTCGTCAGTGACAACACTACACAGAACAACAAACACTACAGCGTGATAGAACGCTATATTCAGTGGGTGCGCTCGTAAATGTAATGTGTCCGAGGTCATTATACGGTCATCGGGCTGTCGGGGCCCTCGGGCCAAGGGCTCAAGTGCAGGGCTCTAGTGGGAATTCTTTCTGAAAGAAAAGGAAAGAATGAAGATACGAGAAGACATAGGGGAAAAAGGAGAAGAAAAAGCCTGTATGTAGAGGACAGTGCAGGAGAGCGATGAGGAGTGAGGTGAGGGATGAAAGGAAAGAGCATGAAGGAGAGGGGTGAGAGGACAGTGGAGGAGGACATGATGAGTGAGGAAAGGGGTGAGAAGAGGAGAGGGAGGAAAGAGTGGAAAGTTGAGGATATAGAAGAGTAGAGAGAGTGGATGAGTGAGAGGAGAAGCAAAGAGGCGAGGAGACGGCACTTGTGGATGGAGACGTACCTTGAGCAGAGACGTAAACTCTGGCGAGAGGACTTGGGGGATGTGGGGGAGTCTTCCTTGTCTGATCTCGTGCCACTTGTCTCCGTTGGTGGGCAGAGGCTCCGCTCCAGACGCACTGACCACAGTGAGAGCCAGAGCAAAGATGTCCGCCTTCATCAGGTTACTGTACTCCTGAGGAAAGAAGGTCAAGACGTCAGAGGAGCTTCACACATGCAGCGCAACGAGCCCTGGAGCCAGGTCTGGCCAGCCGGCCTGCCCCTCTCTCTGGTCTCCCTCTCTCTGGTCTCCCTCTCTCTGGTCTCCCTCTCTCTGGTCTCCCTCTCTCTGGTCTCCCTCTCTCTGGTCTCCCTCTCTCTGGATCATGTTCCTGCATGTATATCTTTAATAAAGCCTAAAAGAACATATGCCACAATTCCGTCCTCACCTCCTGCAGGACCTCGTTGGCCAGATAACGGCTGTCTCCCTCCTCCACCTGTGGGTTATTGACACGGGTCACATGACCCAGGTCGCCTGCACACAAAACACAAGTTTAGTTTGAACAGGGGTCAAGGTCAAGCTGAGGCTCTCAGTCCCTCACAATACAATACATGGCTCACATTACAATAATATGGTATGATATATACCAGTGATATACACTGGTTCATTGCAGGGGTGATCTGTTCTAAAACAAACTCAAAACAAGTGAAATCCCTGAAGCAGCAGCTGCATGTTTTGAGGCTGTAAGAAACCCTCATACACTTTTAGACACTGTTCTAACCACCGGGACTCACGACTGCTCCAGTGTTACTGTGAGGGGCTGCAGAATCTCAAACTATATTTCAAAATATCAAAGTTATTTTCTCACCAATTTTATAAATGACGTTTGTGGAGAGCTCGTCTTCTTCATCCAGAACTTCACAAGTCGACAAAGACTTACGAGAAATAAAGATATTACCTGAAAAAAGACAAAGTCAAAGATGGTTCCAGACGCATTATTGCTCCCTGAGGCCTGCCACCTCAGGGAGCAGCGTCTGCAGTCAGAGCTCTCTTTCACGGACATGTAATTATACATAATTTCACCTGAGAAATAAACTAATTTATGAAAAATAGTTGTTTTATAGACAGAAAATAGTGTTGTCACAGTTAGGTCATAGTGGTAGAATTACATCATACTGTTACCATAGACTAAATATTAACGGACGTGGTCACTCCTATCTCCACCGTTCAAACAAATGGGCCAAAAATTGTGCTCTACTGGAGCTATCCAAAATGGCCGCGAGCGGTCCCGCCCACAAGAAAATTGTGAAAAAACTCATCTGTGCATGTGTCAGCCGGAGCGAGCCCCATTCATTCAAACGAGTGCCTTCAAAAATTCACAGCGACTAAACTAGAGTGGTCCAAAAAATGTGGAACGGAGCTTTGGGCCAAGAGACTACTTTTGGACCATCCTGTAAAGACCCGGGGTGGTATTGCAAACATGTCAGCACACGTCATTTTGGCCACTTTTGAGAAGGGGCGGAGCTACATGTACATAATATTATGTTCCTGGTTTTAGTGTGGATGGAGCTAAAAATTATTTCAGGTTTGTGACTAACGAACAATGGGCCTCATTCAAAAACCGTACTTAAGAACAAATTTGTGTGTAAATCCTACTTAGAAGATTTTACGAAGATTGTGGCATTCATGAAATTTTCTCGTAACCAGAATTTCTCTTGGGTACGTACAAATCCTACGAATGCTCAGGAGCACTTCGTACGAACCGACATGTTCGCACGCTGGTGTTATGAAGTTCAATAAAACACGAGATTACAGTGATATGTCCGTCATATTGATGTATGTATTTATTTATTTAATTGTTAATGTTAATTTAGCCTATTTTTTTATTAATTTTGAAATGAAATGTGCCAACGCTTTATCAAATACATTGGAAATCTTAAATCCTATTTATAGGAGTGCGTTAAAGTTAGTTTTATATTGGATATTCAACACATTCAACTAATCTACTAGGGGGCATTTCTTTATCCACGGGCCACAGAACAATGGCATATATACTGCTGCTGCAAGAGGTTGCGGGGTCCGCGCTGAGTCTCTGTGCTGGTCTCTCCCATGGATCCATACGGGTCTGCACTGGTCTCTCCCATGGATCTATACGGGTTTGCACTGGTCTCTCCAGTCCATGGTCTATGCGGTCTCTCCTCTGTCCGTGCTGGTCTCTGCGCACCGGTCTCTCCTGTCCGCGCTGGTCACTCCAGTCTCTCCTCGGGTCTGCATTGGTCTCGGTGCTGGTCCGCGCTGGATCTCCTCCCAGGGTCCAAAATATTTTGAGATTCATTTTTAAATTGATAAAAAAAAAATTTTTTAAATTAAGCTCATAACATTTGAGATGAATCTTATAATATTTAAACTTTTAAGTCAACATTTTATAACTTTATTCTCAGTCTGACCAAAGAAAAAAGGGTGACTCTTTTGCTCCGTAACTCTTTGCTTTAGGTCTGTTGCTGTTTCCTCTGGCGTCTGTACACGGCCCTGCAGTCCCTTTTATGGGCATTAATGGGCGGTTACCTATGCTAAGTACCTATGCTAATGAAGCACCGGGCACGCGCGCTCTACTTACGAGGAAATGGCATTCATCAATCTAAGAGAACAGCTGCGAACAATTCAGCGGCTTACGAGTGCGTTGATGAATCCCACGTAGAGTCTTCTTAGAAATCTACAGAAGCGCGACTTAAGAAGAAATTTAAGAAGTTTCTTATGAAGTTATTCGTGAATGAGGCCCAATGTTTCTCCCCTCCTCCCCTCTCTGAACATGGAGAAAAGCTCCACATGTCTCCCCCCCTCCTCTCCCCTTCAAAGCCTTAAACTTGGCGGCATCTTAAATGCACTTGTAACTCCACTGGTGAGAATGAAAGTGCCAGAGGCTCATCCTGGTCATCTCCTACTCCAGAAACACTCACTGGGCTTGATGTCCATGTGCACGAGGCCGGTGGAGTGCACGTATCGCAGGCCGCGTGTCACTTGCAGCAGCAGGTCTTTGAGCGCCGCTTCGTTCAGGTACGTGAGGCGTCTGTAGTTGTCGGTGATGACGTCGGCCAGCGTCCCGCCGTTACAGTACTCGTTCTGGATCAGCATGTGCTCGTCCTCCGCCCACGCAGAGTAGTACCTCACCACATGGGGGTGCTGTCCCAGGACGGCATGGGCATAAACCTCACGCAGGGCGTTCTGCCTGAGGAGCAGATAGAGAGGGTCAGACCCAGAGAGAGAGGGGAGGGAGGAAAGAGGGGAAGAGGAGAAGAGAAAAGAAGGAGAGAGTGACATTCCCGTACAGAGAGAGAGAGGAGAAGGCAGGGAGGAGAGAGAGCGGGAAAGAAAAGGAGGAAGGAAGGAGAGGATCAGTCCCATACAGATAGAAGAGCTGTTGGAACTGCGACTGACTGGAAGCAGGTAGAAAAGCTTTAGGTGTGACTCACTCGTCCACAGATCCGGCCAGTGGCTTCTTGGACCTCTTGATGGCGTAGATGCATCCGTCCAGTCTCTTCACACATTTAAACACGGCTCCGAACTCTCCGCAGCCAATTTTGTCCAACTCCAAGAACTCGGAGACGTAGCGAGACGCCATGTTACTGTCCATCATGGTGACCCGCTAGAAGACCAACACATACAAACTTTATAAACTGTTAAAGCTGGGGTACTTAACTTTCAAACCACAGACATGGAACTAAAGCTGCATTTCCAAATGCATTACTCGGCTGTGCCCTTCCTGGTTGTGTTTCAATTTGATACTGTGTCTGGGGAAATTACTTGATACCTTTGGCTTCCAGCACATTACTGCCAGCTATAACACTTGAGTACCAGCTCGGCCAAGGGGGACCTGGTACTGGCTGGACAGAAACACTCCCAATCAGTAATGTAGAGTAGAGCTGGTGGAAGTGGCTTTATTAAAACAATCCAACTTACGTTCGGAAAAAGCCGAACCACAGAAGTAACACAGAGAGGACCACCCTCACTCAGCCAATCAGCTTCCAACTTTTATCCAGTGGATGAAGTGTAGAAGTGGACAAACCTTCGAAGGCGGGAGGATCTCCTCTTCCGTTTCGCCGTCACTCTGCTCCATGTCTTCACCACAAGAACTGAAACAACAGAAACGGAGTGAGGTCCAACGTTAGAGCCAACTGATTGCCGTGACAACGAGGAGAGCTGAGGCAGAACTTCTACTCTACATATGCTTTCTAGGACACATTAGTACGTACTCGTTCCAATGTGCTCTCTTGCGTGTTGCTCTCTGCTGCGTCGCCGACTGGATGAGAAGTGAGTCCGGAGTGAAGGGGTTAAAGTTCACCAGGGGAGTCTGCTGGCGACGCCCACTCTCCGACAGGCCCTTTCCCGATTGGTCACTTTTGAACAGAGCCACTCTGCGATTGGACGACGACGTGCCCGAGGTCCGCGCTCTGGATAGTAAACTCTGAGGATCAAAGAGTTACAGGATATTCAGAAGGAGCTGTCTTTTTCTTTAGAAAATTATCTTAATACGTTCCATATTACACTTCTTGACTTTTCTCAGTACAGAGATATTTTTGCCTTATACACATGCCCAAAGTAGTTTTTTCATTGATTCCCTCTAGCTTTAGTCGGAGAGTGATCCTTCTTCATTCTCCCGAGGCACAGAAAAGAGTTGATTCACTTTGTTACGCACAATCACTTGTGATACAAGATCCAGAAGCCCCGCCTCCAGAAGGGGATCGACAAGAGAGAAACCAAAAGAGCCTTTCCCAGCATATAATCCCCATCTACTAGTCCGTGCTCACGTCTATGCTGTTATTTCTGTAGTAGTTTCAGGATTCTTAACGGTCGCTCCTGGAAACAGCTGCTGCTCTTGACTCGGAAATATGAGACTTTTTCAACTGATTTAAAACCAAACAGATCCTTTTACACAATATGAAAGAGGAGGATTTTAAACAGAGGCCCACGCTCAGGTTCCCAACAAACCACACCAGCTGCTGATCTGAGGATGTGACGGAGGGCAAAACCTGTTTATGATTAGGGGTGTGACAATTAGGGATGTAAAAAACTATGAATTTTCATGACCGACCACCGAGCCTCATTAACCGGTTGAAACCGGCTAACCGCGTAGTTTAAAATAGTCCACGTTCTTTGAAATAACAGCCATTTCGAGCCGCGTACTTTTCATAAGTGCAGCTCTGCGTTCTACTGGATCAGAGTTGAGACAGCGGCGCCCAAACCCGCAACAGCTCCGGCACCTTTGCGCACAGAGAACTGCTTTTTTTAATCTTCCCATTCTGTTGTGCTGCGGGTTAATACCAAAACTTTCTAGCAGCAAACGACGGCTCGTTCACATGGTCAGAGCAGCGAGTGACGAGCCGCGTCTCACAGGTCTTCACAAAAGTTTAAATACAAGTGATGTGTGTGGAGCTGATCCCGAGGACCATAAACACAAACATGTTCCATGTGGTTTGACTGGAGCCGCGTATTTGCGCGAATCCTTTGGGCTCCGTGACACAGAGGAGCGCGACAGACCGGTATGTGTGTGTGTATGTATGTAAATGTAAGCTCCAATGTAGTTCTGACCCACGCCAGTGTGCAACTTTGACGGTAACAGAGGGGAGAGATGATGCGTGTGGATGTTACGTATGGAGAGGGGAAAGTGTGTGTGTGTGTGTGTGTGCGTGCGCGTGTGTGCATATGTGGCTCGTGCGGCGTGAGAGTCGTCCCGGAGTTTATAATACATGGGCGCACACAGCTAGATACAGACCCGCTCGTCACACCGTGCAAATAGGGCTTAAAATAGCGTTATTAAGAGACCTCCCCTCTCCCCTTTTTCTCTTTTTCAACCGACAGCTTTGACCGGTTAACGCTGTGACGGTCAACCACCGGTTAAACGGTCGCCGATTTACATCCCTAGTGACGATATATCAATTTTGTGCGATACTTTCTCCCGCGATTCGATTATCGATGTGCATTTGCTAAGTATCAATTTTTTTTTTAATTGGCATCAATACTTAATATATGGCTACATTACGCATCTCAATTCCATTTATCATGAAATAAAGTGTATTTTTTCTTTTATTTATGCCATAAATTGGTGTATTGTATATTTCTGACCAATATATCGATAATCGTCATATCGTGATAAAATCGTTATTGTGATATCGTTATCGTGAGCTTTGTATCGTGTATCGTGAGGTACCCTTAGGTTCCCACCCCTATTTATGATCTATGAAAGTTACATGCCCCATCTTTAATATAATAAAGGCAATTTCTATGATAGATTTGTTTTCCTATAGAGCGTATATGAGGAGAGGACTGAAAGAGTGTGACATCACCATAGACTGACTACTATAGCGAACTAGTCTCTCCCTCGCTCTCTCTGGTCACGTTACATTTTAAAGTCCTCATGTTGTGTTCATTTGAATGTAAATCAGGTCAGATGTTTCCTACCCGTCCACAGTGATGTAATCTCATTTCAAAAACCTGCTGCATTGTGGGTAGGTCTTGTTCAAACATTCCTTCAGTTGGAGTTTCACCCAGTGACCCACATCAGGGAGTTATGCAACAAAAAACTGGAGCCGTGTGAAACCAGGGGAAAACAGAGAGAGACCAGAAAGAGACCAGAAAGAGTGAGAAAGAGGCACGAGAGAGAGAGACCAGAGAGAATGAGAGCAGGACCATAGAAAGGGAGAGAGAGCAGATGGAGTCAAAACACAAAAATACTTGATCAATCCAATGTATCATGGACAGACACGGTAAACACTTTACACAGGTGAGGAGCTCTGGAACCTTCAGGCCGAGTGGAGAACCTCCCCTTGTTGGGGGTGTGGCTGACCTTGGTGTGTTGAGACTGACCTTGGGGGTGTGTGGAGTGTCAAACAGCCTCAGCTTCCGGAAGGTCTTGTGAGGGGGCGTGTCTGGGCAGTCTGGGATAGGAGAGCTGGAGGCCTCTCCATCGTCGAGGGTCCGGTCCTGTTCCGGAGAGTCAAAAAGGCGAGAGGAACGAAGCTTTCTGGGAGACGGTGAGCAAGGAGAAAAGAGCCGAACGCTGACTGGAGACTGGAGAACAGAGAGGACAAGGTTACACACAGATCAGAGGACTCAAGAGGACAGTCACACACTGATCTATACAGAGAAGAGAGCTGACCAGAGTCGGAGGGGGACAAGAACAACATGTAAAGAGGAGAACATGAGCTTTTAGCTCTAGGGCAGACGCAGCTTTGCTCAGGTCACATTAGAGACCTTTTCAAACATGTATCATTACAGTGGTGATGTCACATTGTCACATACCATAATAATTAACCCCTAACCACATTCGCTCAGATCTAAAGCCCTTGTTGTTCATCTGACTTATAACCACCAACAACTCAGAGGCTGAGATTCCACAGATTCTCTCAGAAAAATCCTAAACCAATCAACTTCTACATACTCATTTTACAGACGTCCCAATCCTCGAGTAGAGGACTATGGCCAAATAGTCTCTGATCTGTTTGAGCAGGAACAGATTCTGGTCTTTATCATGAGACCGAGGCTGCAGTCCTCAGTGACTCAACTGGAATTAAGTGAGGTGGTATCATGGATGTGTGATGTTATGTGGAGGGTGTTGCTGCTTTAACCAGTCTTCACATAGACTAGAGGCCACCCGCAGTACTGCAGCTTAAATCTACATGGGCTGTAAGGAGAATTCCCTAAAGACCTCAGTGTTCACTAAAACTGCTTGTCCTCAGCTCAGAGGAAAACAAAGCTTTCACAAAGGAAGATTAGGTGGGGTATTTAGCGCCTCTTGTCATACTCAACTTTTGTTTGAAATCCAACAGTTTTCTATACATTTTGTGTCATAACCTGACACACGCTCACGCTGACCAGGCATGCTCCAATTGGTCAGAGAAGTAGAACCACTGAAACTATTGCACAAGACCAGAGCTGGCCAGGGCTTGGGTGGTATTCAAACAATACAAGATCGGTTAAGATTAGAAAACCAAAGACTGAAGTTCTGCAGTCACCACAGGAACAATGTACGGGATACTGTATTGAATTGCGGGTTAGAAACTTTATTCGTGACGAGTAAACCTTTAAGGATACACTCTGACACTCAACAGCTGATGGACAAAACAACTAGACACTAGAAGACTGCATGTTGTTGATTTACTCAGGGTGCTCCAGTTTCAAACATAAGCTTCAATAGTCCTCTCTCCTGCTCCCTCTCTGAGGCCAGGACTCCATGAGAAAGATTCTGAAATCTCAGTAAGACTAGATAAATAAGGAATATTTCTACGTCAACAAACATACAACGAGTCACGTTGGAGGAGAGGCGAGTCTGAACAGCCGTGTGGATGTAGTCTTCTCACTCACCAGAGCCTGCTGCAGATGAGCCGGTGATGATCCAAAGTCCTCCTCCCCCCATAGCTCCACCTCGTCCGCGGACCGGTCCATGGGTCTGTCGGCCTCCATGCGCGTGGCCACGGGGGAGTCCATCTCCGTGAAGCCCGACTCTCCCCCGGTGCTGTTGTTCACGTCCTCTATCGGCTCGTCCTCTCCATCCGAGCCGGAGAACAGCAACTTCTGGCGAATGTGTGGGGACCGCGGCCTGCCGAAGCGAGACATTGCCCCAGGGTTCACGGCTCCTGCTGCACACACGGTGGGCATGTACAGTCACCCGCAGCTGCACGCACTCTAGTCCTTTGAAGTGGAATTGGAAATAGTCTTGGTGCACACCAGCGACGCGTGTTCCACTCCTGACGGTCAATTACAATAACAAAAGTTTTATCCAGTCGTGGTTCAGAAACTCCACGCGTTATTGCGCAGCTCTCCGATTTGCAGTTTCAGTTCTGTCTCACCAGAACAGATTCAGTAGCGGTAGATATTGACGCATTAAACGTGAAAATAGAGTGAAAGCAGCCTGCATGGTGCTCCAAGACTCCATTGAACTGCGGTGGTCTCTCTCACTTGTTGATCACTGAGATAATATGGCAGCCTTCAGACAGGGGTCAGCAAAACTGTAGAAAATCTGCAATAAAGACGATCAAAACAAGAAGAATCAGTGTAATCATGGTGCCCAAAGCTCATATACGACTGTTTTAACTGTCATTATTAAGTTAAAACGTGGTTAAATTCAGTTAAAGCTGTTTAAAGTCTGCGGTAAACTCACACACGCCCATCTGAGACAGTGGCCCGTCTCCGCTCGTCAAACCCGGGGAAAATACGTCTCTTCTGGGACAGAAAGAGTTCAGAGCCCGAGGGAGCAGTGTGGAGAACCTGCTGGGATAGATCCAGGTTGAGTGGTGCTTTCCTCGGTTCGCGCTGGTCCGTATCAGCGGGGAAAGCCGCTCTTGTTTGGGGTAAAGTTTCGATGTTGTGTCGCGCTGGAGGATGAAGTGGAGCTCACGCGCGTGGCTGTGGGCTTCCCGCGGCCGTTGGTCACGTGGTAGAGAGCGGCCAATCACAGCGAAGGGGGGCAGTTTGAAAAGGAGGCGGAACTAAGGAGAAAAGTGACGGCTTTTTCATTATTTATAATTATTTTGAATGTTGTGCATCTATGAAGTCCTGCCAAGGGCAGCTGTGGCTACAGCTGTAGTTTATCATCACTGTACGAAGTGAATGAATATTGCTGTGAAGTGTATGAAAGATACATCATGAATAATAGGATATGAATACCGCGCATGAGCTCGTCGCCGAGATTGGAATAATATCAGCGCCCCAATTTAACCTAATTTACTAATACTAATGTTACATTACTGTTACGGTGGCAGTTGCACTAGGCCAGCTCCAGTGCTGGACACGTTCAATTCCCAAACTTCTTCGTCTGGTGGTTAGCGCTTGTCCCTTTCTGTGTAGAGATTGCATGTTCTACCGGTGTCGGTGTAGGTTTCCTCCAGAATCCGGAATTTTACAGGATGGTTTGTTCTGGGAAGGTTGCTAGGATACGGTACTAGATTCTAAAGCGTATATTTCATTGCTTCTGTGAAATGAGCTATATAAATAAAGTTCCAACCCGTTTTTTCCCTCCATTTGGATCAAATGCTCAGATTTTTCTGTTAATTTTCCAGGATCTGGAAAGTGGATTTCCTGGTTCTGTTTGACAGTGTGAACCTGCTAAACTGCATCAACAAGTTACTTTCCGAATCCGCATTAAAATAGTGGTCAAAGCCCAGTCCCCTCCTCTCCCACGCATTTAGAATGTAGACTCTGCTCTGGTTCGTCAGAATGTTGTCGTTTCCTGATTATATCAAGTTCAGTATTTACACAAAATTAAACAAGCTGAAAAGAAACACATTCTTATTGTCACTGTAGCAATTACGAAAGTCTCAAACTTAAGGAGCTGTTTTCAAAGGGACAAAAGGCATTTTCATCATTTACATTTGAAAAGAGCAAAAGTCAAAGTTTAGGGCTGAAACTACGAAACGGAATTTAAACCAGTTCGACTTTCACTGGTGGGATGGGCTATGGACCAGACCCAGACCAACCCTAGGGACCAGACCTGCTAGGACTTTGTGCCTCGTGGAGATTGTATTAAAATCAGTCAGTTCAATATTATTTATTAGAAATCATCTGTACAAGTGTTAGAAACTCTCACACGTTCAGTCCAGTTATCAAAACATTTATGTACAAGAGTCTGTTTGGAAGACGTTTTTCAACAAGTGCAAAACCAGAGACCGGGTCCAGAGACCAAAGACCAGAGTCAAGAGGCCTGACATTAGTGAGGAAGGAGCTGCAGGTCTTTGATGAGGGACACTGTTGGAGCATGATTAAAAGACCACAATACAGACCCGGTCCAGCGCTAGTCTGAACCCGGTCTATAGCTCATGTCAGTCTTCCAGGCCTGGAGATTCTCCCTGTTGTATCCTGGAGGCGATCCTGATGGCCTCCTCCAGCGACGGACTCTCACTCAGCTGAAACAGAGACAACAACTTCATGTGAGAGTCCACAGACTTCAGTGTCTGATCAGGACCAGAGAGGACTGGGGTCTGGACCAGGACTAGAGAGGACCAGGGTCGGGATCAGAACCAGTCCTGCTTTAGTCTTAACCTGTACTATGACATGTGTGTGTGTGTGTGTGTGTGTGTTTACCTGTACTGCAATGTGTGTACCGTTGGATGTGGCGAGCAGAGTCACAGCTCCATCCTGATCCTGGGTGTACGCCGCTTCTTCTACTGTTTGAAATGCACTCATGTCAGGGGTCATGATCGCCACCTGCAGAACACACAGAGCATCACAGATTAAGAGCCTGGTCTGAAACACTGCTCTAGAGCCCACTCCTCAAGGCGGCTGGATTAATCCTTTCTCACCTGCTCCTCCCCGGCCTCGCCCGTGACCATGGCGATGGTGTTGTGGTCACTTAGGTGGTGCGCCCTCTGGTGGGTGAGCTCGTGTGCCGGGATGGTGATGGTGGTGCCCTCCTGCGTCACCATGGTGATAGTCCCGCCCATCGCCTGTAGCTCTGCCTCCGAGATGCTCACCTGCCCAGAACAAGTTTCTTCATCAGGACTTTGAACAAAAAGACTGTTACACGGTAGGATATTTGATTCTTTCTTCTGCTCTCATTACCCCCCTCTCACCTGCTGCTGGGTACCGTCCTCCTGAGTGACCAGGGCCAAGTGTTGTCTGAGCTCTGGAGCCTCAGAGACCGGATCAGGACCAGAGTCTGAATCTGCTCTGCTGTAGACCACACTGGGGTCATCCACTGCGTCTGAAAACAGAAGAAAACCCTCTGGTCAGTCTCTGGTCAGTCTCTGGTCAGTCTCTTGTCAGTCTCTTGTCAGTCTCTTGTCAGTCTCTTGTCAGTCTCTTGTCAGTCTCTTGTCAGTCTCTGGTCAGTCTCTGGTCAGTCTCTGGTCAGTCTCTGGTCTCTCACCCGAGGGCTGGAAGTATGCCTCGGTCTCCTCCTCGATGGGCTCGGTGTCGTTGTGGGCGGTCCTCTTGTGCATGCCCAGAGTGGAGATCTGTTTGTAGGTCTTCCCACAGTGGTTACAGTTGTATGGTTTACATGGCGTATGGACCACGTGATGTTTGTAGAGACTTGAGTATTCGGTGAAGCGCTTCTCACAGCCGGGGACGGTGCACACGTACGGCTTCTCCCCTGAGAGACAACCATAGATTTTCAATATTAACGGACGTAGTCACGCCAATCTTCGCAGTTTAAAATGGCCACATGGGTTGGAAAATGTGAAAAAACGCGTTTGTGCACAGATCAGCTGGCACGAGCCCATTCATATGACGAGTACCTTCAAAATTTCACAGCGGCTAAACCAGACAGGTCCAAAAAAAATTCACTCCCTTTAGCATTGGGCCAAAAGCCGACTTTTGGACCATCCTGTGAAGACGTTTTCGAGAGGTAAGAAGATTCATACTTTAGCATTGAATAATTCTTATTCTAGGTCCACTACCATCGGCCTGGTGTGGTGGTGCAGCATGTCAGCGCACATCATTTTGGACATTTTTGAGCCGGGACCCGCCCCCGCTGGAGACAACGCAGTCTGCGGACTTTCTGGTATGGTAAAGCTGGGGTATGTAACTTTCAGCCCACACCAAAACAACTCTGTAGTAAACCCATGTCTTTCACATCATGTATGTTTTCAGAGACCAGAGAGACCATCTTTTTTCAGACAGAAAAGTGAAACAGAGAGGACCACCTGCAATCAGTTCTCAGCACAAAAAGTCAAATAGTGACTCACAAGGCTCTTTTTCACACAGAAGATGTTTTCTAATGAGACTTAGACTTACAGACTTTAACGAAACCACAAGGGAAATTGCGTTGTCACAGCATGACTTGACAACTTGACTTGAGACTAAAGGCGCGTTCAGACCAAAAGTTTCAAAAAGCTTTTGACGCGCTTCAACTGACGCCGGGATAGTTTTGTCATTTTGGTGCTTGAAGCTTTTGACGCGAGTGACGCGAGTGACGTGCCTGACGCCGGTGGGATGAGCTTCTCTGTTGTCTGTAGTCAGGACAGCGGTGGATTTTTCAATGAGCAGTGAGCCTTTATTTGTTATATAAAGCAAAATAACGTTGTCGTAGGGCTTCAACAAAACATGTTCTGGGTTCACCACAGACTTGAGAGGCTGCAGTGTTTGCAGAGTTCCGTCATTTACTCCAGGAGCTGCGTACGGAGGAGTTTCGCTTTCAGCGGTACTTCCGCATGTCACTCGCCCAGTCTGAGTTCTCAAACCCCGGAGCTCGCCTCTCCCCGCCTCGCTCTCGCCTCTCCCCGCCTCGCTCTCGCCTCTCCCTGCCTCTCCCCGCCTCGCTCTCGCCTCTCCCTGCCTCTCCCCGCCTCGCTCTCGCCTCTCCCTGCCTCTCCCCGCCTCGCTCTCGCCTCTCCCCGGCTCTCCCTCGCCTCTTCCTGCCTCTCCCCGGCTCTCGCTCACCTCTCCCTGCCTCTCCCCGGCTCTCGCCCGCCCGGAGCTGCCTTGCTCTGAGCCAGACTCATCGTCAGCCTGTTCTTATATTAAATAAACTAAGTTTACTACACAGCATGTGTACAATGATTTTTGTTACTCAGAACGTTACTACTCATACAAATAATATTACTAACAACAATAATGACAATAAAACAGCAGCAGCAGATACATGACTTCTCTTCATGACAGAGACAGACCCTCTGCTGCTGCTGCTCCTCGTCTCCTGATTGGTTGAAGCCCGCGTCAAAGCTTCAAAAGCTCAGCTTCGGCGTCAAAGGGATTGTTTTGATACGCGAGCGTTTCGCGCGTCAAAAGCTTCAAGTGAGCGCGTATTACGCGCAACTTTTGAAGCTTTTGACGCGCGCCAAGTGACGCCGGGCCCCTCGGCTTCACCTGACGCGCTTCACCATTCACTTTCAATGCAAACCTGACGCTTTTGACGCCGAAGTTAAGTCCGGTGTGAACGCCCCTTAAGACTTTCAGTTCACACTACATGTGTTATTTATGAGACTAAAGTTACGTACACCCGCTTTAACTCGTACCTGTGTGTATTCTCATGTGGTTCTTGTAGTTGGTGGCGCTGGCAAAGCTTCGCCCACAGTTGGGCTCGGAGCAGTAGTACGGCCGCTCGCCGGTGTGCGTCCGGATGTGGACCTTCCGGATGTTTGAGGTGGTGAAGGAGCGACCACAGCCCTCCACGGGACACCGGAATGGCTTCTCTCCTGAAGACAAGACCAGGGACATGACACCAGAGACAAGGGGCCAAAAGACCAGAGATATGAGAGTGCAGCAGCAGCATCACCAGCTGTTATCTTCTTTGCAAGGCCCAGTACCTGTATGTGTCCTTGTGTGTTTCTGCAGATCTCCAGACGTCTTGAAGGATTTGCAGCAGTTCAGCTCCTGACACCTGTAGGGTTTCTCCCCAGTGTGGGTTCTGGAGTGACTCTTCAGACCGTAACCTGAACAAAAACACGGGTCACCATTGCGTTCTGCTGCGATGACTGCAGACGCTTCTACCTTCTCGACACCGAGGTAAGGCTGCACGACTTTGGAGAAAATGTCTTTGTGCAATGTTTCTTCAATCTTTGTGATGTGATTTACTATGTTTTTTGAACTAAAGAATTCTATAGAGGAGGGGTTCCCAAAGTTTTTAGCCCGCGACCCCCATGATAATTGCGCTCTTCCCCTCGCGACCCCCACCTCAATAGGCCTTCCCGTCACATGAAATGAGCACGTATTTCCTTGATTCAGAGTAACGTTTTATAGAGACTCGCGGCACTCCCGAGCTGCACTCGCCAGCCCAAGGAGTGGGCCTTGTGTCACTTGCGTAGTGACACAAGGGATGGGCTTGGTGGGCTTGCCCCTTAGCAGAGGTGGAGGGCAATTCTAGCAGCTCGCCCTCACTGTAAAGAGACCCGGCTTTTCGGAGTCAGCGGTAAAGAGGTCCGCACATTAAAAGCGGGTGGCCGCTTTATGCTGTTACTTATGGTAAAAAGTGCATTGTGGCGGTTCATCCCCGTGGCTTCTCTTTACAACGTTACCGTGAATGAATGAATAATGTGCGGACCTCTTTACCACTGACTCCGAAAAGCCGGGCCTCTTTACCGCGGTGTTTGCCGCTGCCCTCTCTCCCTCCGCCGTCTTCGCACCTTCAGCCTCACCTCTGGCACAAGTGACTTTTCTGCCCCTCCGGGTTTTTCTGTTGTGGACATTAACCACGTTTCATTTTAAGGCAGGTATTATTTGTTTGTGGCCTCCAAAAACCTTTAGCTTTAGCAAACAGGAGCAGGACACGCTTTGTCGCTGCATGATGTGAGCTCCGTAACTTGATTTTGATTGACGCTGTCAATGACTGGGACAAAATTACAAACGTGATTCAAATACATTATATTTTTTTCAGACTCTTCTCCAAACACAATTTAACAAGCAGTCATTTTGGATGAAATCAAATGCAAAATATATATTTAAGGGCTATATATTTGTTTCATTTTTTTTTTCTTTCTCGGAAATCATCTTGCGACCCCCCTCGGGACCCCCACTTTGGGAACCACTGCTATAGAGTGTATGTGTTGGGTCTCTCCCTCTCTGGGGCGCTCTCCCGCTCTTGGGGTGCTCTCCTTCTCTGGTCTCTTTCTGCAGAACAAATTCTCATATAAGGAAAGTGGCTCCAGCTAACTTATGTTCAAATCGGCCTCTTCTACTTTCCGCAAACACTACGGTGATATCACACTCGGTCCTAAAAATACTCCTCAGGTTTCAGTTTCCTCAGGTTTCTAGTTTGTGGATCTTTACCTGTTGCAAACTTCTTTCCACACGTGGGGTATTCACAGATGTAGGGCTTGTCTCCAGTGTGCGATCTCTCATGCACCTGCATCATACATGGAAATGTGAGACCCTGGACTCGGACCAGGTCTCTCTTAGCCTGGTCGTACCACACCATGGTACAAATGACATTTCCTACTAAGGTCTGGAGGTGCTCCATTGAGCTCCGTTTACAGGTGGGAGGCGCCCGAGTCTGTTGTTAGCATTTAGCTTAACCATCTCCTTTGCTGCTAACGGAGCCCGTGGGGAGTAGCGCCACAATTTTTTCCAGCGATCACATTTGCTAAACATTACCCCTTGCTCCGGCTTCAATTTCTTGATAGAAGACCGGGTTACTTTACTATCGCATATTTCGACATTACCAAACTGCAACCTGCCTGTTTGACGCAAACTCTTGACGACACCCACAACTAACTACAACACCTGCCTTCTGCGCTCTCTGAATGGTTGGTCGAAATTCAACCGATTGTAATCGCTAACACAGGGACTAAACCCGTTACATGCAGTGAAATGATGATTGAACGGAGTGTACGGATGGCTAAGGCCAGCATTTAAACCACATTGGAATACATGTGCAAAAAGTATCCCAGTGTGCACCAGACTAGTACATAGATAAGACCAGCTAAAAAGTACAGGAAATAATTGTCATGGTGAAACCAATAAACAAAAACAGCTTCAATGACTCTCTGGTCCCTCTCTCTGGTCCCTCTCTCTGGTCCCTCTCTCTGGTCCCTCTCTCTGGTCCCTCTCTCTGGTCCCTCTCTCTGGTATATCTATCTCTTATAACCCACAGACCTTGAGATGATGTGCAGTAGTGTAGAGTTTCCCACAGCCCTCGTAGTCACATCTGAAGGCCTTCTCTCCCACGTTTGTGATACGTCTGCTGTCGTGGCCCTGGAGAACAATCTGAGAGCAAAGGGTCAAGTCAGGAAAGAAGTCCACAGATCAAAGGAAACGTTTAGTGAAACAAAAGCCCAGTTTCAACTCGCTTTGCTCGGCTCTACTCTACCCTAAATGGGAGTGTTTCCACTAACTCTACCTAACAAGTACCAGGTCTTTAGTCCCTCTTAGTCCTGGTTCTATCCAGGCTGAGCTAGTACTAAAGTGATTGGCAGGAGTGCTGCTGGAAGTTGCCAAGGAATTTCCCCAGATACCGGTTAGTTGTGGGCAGGTTGCTAGAATACGGTACCAGATACTAAAGCGTAATGGAAACACAATCAAGTAGAGCAGAACAGAGCAGGGTTTGTTGAAACAAGTAAATTCTTAAGTCTTACTCTCATATGGACACCGCTGTCCGTCTCAACTCTCCCAAACGGCACCAGAGGGTTCTCGATGTTCTCCACCTGAATCACAACAGATTTAGGTGTTTGTTTCTCTGTACCTGTGTGCGTATCTCTATCTTTTTGTACCTTGGTGGTGTACTGCTCCAGCACACTGATGGTCTCTGGGTCAATGGCGCCCTCTGCCTGCAGGTCGGACACAGTGCCGTCGGCCTGAATCGCCAGGATGGTGTTGTTCTGGTTCATGTGGAGCGTGTGCTGAATGTACGCAGTGCTGCCATCCTCCAGCTGCACCTCCTGCAGACCGGACGGCTCGTACGACTCTGAGGATAAAGAGGACGACACAGTTCAAGGTTTATATAGAATTATTGCTCACAACTCGTCACAAGTTTCTCCCTCTGTGTCATAGTCAGTCTCTCTGTGGTCGGTCTCTTGTTCCCTGGTTTCTCTTTCTCTGATAATAAAGCAGCAAATTCTTGGCAAAAACCCTCCTGTTTCAGTTCCTGCACTTACCGCCCTTTTGAAATCCCCCCCCCCAGAGTATGGCTTCATACAAACACTAACGACCTCTTTATGAGTGTCCCCACAGCACCCCCTGCAGGCCACACTCACCTTTAGGAGTGTGAATGTAGGCTGTGGTGCCGTCCTCCAGCTGAACTGCCTGGCCATCTTCCAGCTGCAGACCATCTCCTCCTGAACACAACACCACAGAGTTTATATGTCTCCAGCCTACAGCAGCAGTATGCAGACAGGTCCTGGTCCGGGTCGTGATCTGGGGTCTGGTCCGGTTCTGGGTATTAGTCTTACCCTTTGGGACAGACAGATGCTGGACATAGGCTGCTGACCCCACCTCCACTTGGATCACCTGACCGTCCATGATCTGAGGCTCAGAGAAGGGTTTGGCCTCGTGCTGGAAGTGGATCACCTGCAGAAGAGGAGGAGGAGAGAGAGAAGAGGACACGTATAAACCACGTTTCTAAACAAGACTTACAAAATGAAAAAATATATATATTGAAAACAGCTGCCTTTGAGCTGTTATTAAAGGACAACTCACCCTCAAATCCACTTTTTTTTGCTGATAAACGGTATAAATGAGTGTCCAATAGTGTTGTCTACATATCCTGGTCATAATCTTGTCACTTTGGTGCAAATTAGTTGAAAGTTAGACTTTCTGCCTAAAACCGTCTGTGAGGCGCCATCTGCTGGCGACCTGTATTACTACATTTGAATTTTGAATCTGGCGCCAACACTGGCACAGAAGTTGGACCTGACGTCTGCAAGTTGGACCTGACGTCAGCAGCCCCCCGCCCAGAGCTATATAAACGGCCCAGTCTCGTTCACGCCCCCTTTAGTCCTCCAGGCTACGCCCATTTAGAGGAAGATTTGAACAGGAAATGTGAGTGACGTAAGCTCCGAGGAGCGGGGGTGAGAACCACTTTAAACAGTGTGTCCAGCAGGAGGTCTATGTTCAGGTCCTTGGGTCTGGTCTTACCTGTCCGTCCATGATGTGAGTGTCCTGGAAAGGCTTGCTCTCATGTTGGATATACGCAGTGGAGCCGTCTGATAACGTCACAGCCTGAAGACTGACCGTGTCCACTGCCTCCATGTGGTCAGGGTCTGAGGAGGAGACCAGTGCGAGACCAGGATCAGGAAGAAACCAGGAGACCAGGGCAAGATCAGGACATGGAGCAGTACATGGAGCAGTACTTTACCTGCCACAGTCACAGTCTCTGTGAGACACAGAGTGACCGGTTGACCGTCTGCGTCCTGGAACTCCATCCCCTGAGCATCGCTGTTGATCTGAGCGAGGAGCATTCTTCACCTGAAGCACAGACACATTTTAAAAAAAATTTAAAGAGCAATAAAGGGAAAGTTTGCACTCTCAAAATCTGTGTAAAGGTGAACCAAGGGAAGATTCACAGATTGTAAACATGAAACACCAGAGTGAATATTGCAGATCCTGTTTCAGGGGCAGGCAGATGTTGCTTCAGGTTCAATTATCACAAATGTTATAGTTTTTATTTCATTTCTCTTGTTATGATGTTGCTGATATGCATGGCAACATTGACATTTCCCCACAGTCTTAATGTCGGTCTCAGTATAAAAAAGTTTGAAGCTAGGGTACATAACTTTAGCTTCATAAATAACACATGTGGAAGTAAATGTTGTGAAGAAATTAGACCACAACATGTTATCTTTACTAAGCAATAGAGCTGCGTGTGACTCTTTGGACTGAGATGATTGGCTGTGTGAGGGTGGTCCTCTCTTTTCTGTATAAAAAAAAAACTGATCTTAAGATGTGCCGATCTCAAAGTTACATACACCAGCTTTCGCCATTCCACTATCTGTTTCAGCACACATTTGTGTTGATGCTAGATGAAACTAGGCCTTTTAGATCCTCGACAAACAAATTTAACCAGGCACTTTCCTGGTTAAATAATGACAAAAAGTGGTATCTTTGTGGAGCTAGGACTTGTAAGTTGACATTTGATGACGTATTTACACTAAACAAAATGACCCAACATGCAATTAAAAATAAGACCATAAAAGACACAGGGCTAGTCAAGTTAGGAACAATCACCAAAATAAAGTTTGAAAGTTTTTATTTGGGGTATTTTTCAATCACTGTAGTGGGTCAATTTGACCCGAGGATAGCGCAATGCTTAAAGTGTGGACTGTGACATGTACACAGGACTCATCCGTCATCACTGGGAATGTGAAAAACTTTATTGAACTTAGAAACACTACTAACCCCTTCAAACCTGCAATAGTGAACTTAGAAGCAGGACTATCCACTGCACACATGAACCATAGACCGTAATGAACATAGGAGGTATACTGTATGGATTCAGACGCAGCCCAGGTCAGTGTTGAAAGGTCGGTTCTGAAGCAGCAGTTTAAGTGGGAGCTAATATGCTAACAGCTTGCTAATATGTCAAACGCAAATATCGCTGTTATTTAGCGCTGCTAAATTAGTCTCCTGATACACTCCATATATACATTAACTTTAAGCAAACTGAGTTGTGTAAAAGTGTGAAAGTTGTGGTTAAATACAGTCGTGTTGTGAGCTAAAGCTAACGCGCTAGCCCCGGTGTCAAAGCGAGCGCAGTGTGAAAACAGATCCACATAAAGATCACATCAGAGTCCGCACTGGCTTCACGGAGTTTGCACGGTCTAAACACGGCTTTTCTGTGCAGGAGCCGTGCCGTGCTCGTCCCCCGTGAGCCCGCGCTGTTCCCGAGACCGCTGCGGGACTAATGCACACTGGGTAAAGCCGTTTTTCACACTAACCTCCAGAAATTTCCAACAATTCCTCCTGTTTCGACCACCATGCACCACGTTCAGAGTACACCCCGGAACATGAACGGCGGCGGTGGGAAGGCTCGCCCACACCACATCCACGCGCTGTGATTGGCTCAAGCGCGAAAACAGAGCGAAAGGATTGGTTGGCCCAGCTGTCAGTCACGTCCCGATTGACCCACATCAGGCATAGCAAACTGTAGCTCAATGCTAATACTCGCGCTGTGCTGATTATCACGAACTCAGCGTTTATAACATTATTTGTGTATAGTTTGGACAGTTTTACACTTTATAAATACGTGATATTTATTCCGGATCCATTTAACACAACACAAATTCTGAAATGTGTTGTTTGAATGGATTAACAGCACGAATACTGGCTATTTTTAGCATTAGCTTCAGTTAGCATCTACGTCACACGAATATAACAGAGTAAATTAGCGAATTTAAACGTCTTAATTGTGTTTCTCTGAGCCCATGTCACACTACATAATGCTCATAACTGTATAAACACAGCCCAAGATCGTGTTAAAGCAGATAGGCTGTGTTTAAAGCCTTTAACAGGTCTTGTCTCCGGCTCGTTACCGTTATTCTCGGTCCAGGGCTCAAAACAGGCGCCATTCCACATAGGATTCGATTTGTTTTGGGTTTTTCCATAAACTGAAGCCGTGTCGGGGGAAAATTCGTCATTTGCGAGTGTGTTGTGGGCTGGTTCCCGCGGGGAATGTGTAGATACCCCGGGGCCGCTGTATGACGGGGGTAAACGCGAGTAACATTGGCAAAAAGCGGTGTTTTGTGTAGGTCTGGGCTCCATGTTGGGCTGGGGCGTGTGGGGGATGAAGTGAAGCCGAGGCCTCTGGGAGCTGATGTAGGCGACCCTCAAAACCACCACTGGACATTCTACTCCAAACCTATGTTCTATTAAATTTATTTCACGTGTTAGTGGCTGAGTGGATAGCACTCTCGCCTCTCAGCAAGAATGTCCTGGGTTCGAATCCCGGTCGGACCAGGGACTTTGAGTGTAGTTTGCATGTTTCCCCCGTGTCTGCGTAGGTTTTCTCTGGGTACTCCGATTTCCCGTACCTCTAAAAACATGTATAATAGGTCTGGCATGAATCTCCTGTACTCTGTCTCTGTATATAAAGATTACTTACTTAAATATTGTGTTGCTTTAACAGATATGCTGCACTAATACATGGGTTTAAAAAGAGTGAGAGTGGACTCATCCAACTCACACCTGCAAGAAAATTAAATCAATTTAACTAGTTCCTGCCTCAAACAGTTTCACTAGTTGATAGTAGAGCTGCAACTAACGATTATTTTGTAATCGATTAATCTATCGATTATTTTTACGATTAATCGAGTAATTGCTTGTCTGTGAATTGTGTAGAAAAAACATATTTTTTCATCACAAAAAGCTAAAGTAGCAACACTCGAGGACGTATTGATGGCGTAAACTTAAAGTAAATGTTTGTAACAGTCTCTTTGTGCTAATTCTGCTATCTGATTGGATGAAACAGACAGATATTCATGAAATTATAAAAACAAAGTCGGTTTTAATCAAAAATACTACATTTTCATGTCATTTTTGCTCTGTTTGAGTCCGTGTGAACCAGAAAACGATTAATCGATTACTAAAATAGTTGTCGACTATTTCAATAATCGATTAGTCGTCAATTAATTGATTAGTTGTTTCAGCCCTAGTTGATAGATGTAAATTTTAGACGTAACGGACCTCAGATTTAAAGCTTTTATTTATGAGACTAAAGTTATTTACCTCAGCATTAATAATAATCCATCACCCAAATAAAAAAATAGATTTTCACACATTTTATTGAAATATATTTACAGTATTATTTACAGACACTTGCACACTGTTAAGAAATATCCCTTTGGGTGCATGCGTTTCTGCAGTCAGCGCCAACAACACTGTCAGAACGTCATTTTCTGGAAATCAAAAAGAATCCATTAAACTATTTCACTAAAAGGTTCAGAGAGAGTCACCATTGCATGTTCTCCTGTACCTGTGGTGTGGTGTGGCTGGGCCCCGGCTCGTCTCCCTGGTGTCCAGCTGGTCCTGGCTCGGGCTCGGACCTCAGGCTGAAGGGTTCCAGTCTCTCAGTCTCTGGTAACATGTTGTTAAGCCTGTCCAGCAGGGGCAGCGTTTGGTCCAGTCCCATCTGGACTCGCCTCAGGATCATGGACATCTCGTTCACCTTTTGGATCTGCTCCGCATACTTCGCAAACCGTTTCTGCCGCTCCTGCATCAGGCTGAAGAGGGCTTCTACAGAGAGGTCCATCTGAGGAGAACAAGAGAGGTCTGACTCTGGACCAGGTCTGAGAGGGGTCTTAACCATGTTTGATACTAGCTTGAAGCTGAAGGACTCATGTGCTCGGGGGATTCTCGCGGTACTGGACACTATACATCTATCCATCCATTTTCTTCCCCTTAATCCATTTCTGGGTCGACGGGTGGCAGTCAGAGCTGCACCCAGTACACAGAGCACCAACCTGGAGAACTGGAGACTAAACAAGACTGAATTAACATGGGTTACCCAGACATTTTCCCCATAGAATTCAATGTAAACTGAAACAACTCGACCTCAGCTGACAGAGAACCTACCGCTTACATAAAGGTCAGATTTTGTGGTCTTCTTCTTAAATACTTTGGTTTTCTATAAATCCACACTTTACTGCCACAAACTGCTCAATTGTCTCCCGCTTTAACTCCACTCTAACTCCGCTCTGATCAGCAGCTCTGATTGGTCAGAACGCAGCCGAGCCCCTCTGTGCACGTTCATGAAAACCACATACGCGTATTTGGCGCATCAGTGGAGCTCGCCCACTGCGCAGAACCGGGAGGACCAGGTGATGCCCAAATATGGGCGAGTTCCGCTAATCTTTCGGTGCCCATGGTGGCACATGCACCACTGTAGAAGCCACTGATTTGAAAACAGGGCACCATCTTGGATCGCAGGGGGTTGGTCTACATACCTCCTTGATGCGTTTGACTAGGGCGTTCTGGTCGAAGGACACGGCCTCAGCGCACTGGTGCAGGTGTTGCTGGTACCTCACACACAACTGGAGAACCTGCAGCTGGTCGAGCCGCTGGAGAGAGACTGAGGAGGGAGAGGTCTGACCACTGAGGACCCCTATGGGTGAGGAGGGACACGTCAGCACTAAACTATAAAGCAGGAACACAAGAGAGGGTCCAGGGAGAGACGAGGGAGAGAGACTTATCTTTCCTACAAACCTTTGAGGAGCGGCTGGAACGTGGGGATCTCCGTCAGCTTGATCACGTCTGGGTCACTCTGGATGTTGCGCAGACTCTGGGTCCCAGGCGCTACCACCACAATGTCGTCCATCTTAGCGCGATGTTTTGCAGGAGACGGAGCTGAACGAACAAAACAAACAAATAGCGATATTGTAGATCATCTCTGTCCTCAGACCACGATAATCTCTGCTTGGAACAAAGCTATAACTTTTCAAAGTATCACAGCATAGAACTGAAGGCATTCCAGACTATTGTATTTGTTTTTAGTGGTCGGGGAAACCGGAGCACCCAGAGGAAACTCAGTACACATCAAAACAGGATGAGAGGCCCCATTTTTTAATAAAGAGGGTATAATACACTGTGATTATTTATTTTTAATGCTTTTATTTTAATGCCTTCTTTTTGTTAAGCACTGCCTTATGTAAGAACTGTGCTATATAATCCATGCCTATATTCTGCATGACTATAGAACCTAATGAAATCATTCTACTCGACTCTAATAGCCCTGTTTAACTGGTACCAGGTTCTTCTTTAGTCCATCTTGGCTCTTGTTCTTTCCAGGCCTAGTTGGTACTAAAGCGTTATAACTGACAGTGATTGGCCAAAGTGCTGCTGGAAGCCATTGTTACCAAGAAATTCCCCGGAAACTGGATTTTTGTGGGTAGGTTGCTAGGATAAGGTACCAGATGCAGTGTAGACTCACAACCGACTACAGTAGAGCAGATTATGATTCCTGTAATGCACACATCCTGCAGTAATAAGCATTTGCATACAACGCCTCTTATGCATTTGCCAGTGGTGTTTTAACAGGATCTAACCTCAGCTATTTGGCTTTTCAGAAACAGAGTTTATCCACATTATTCAGACACACTGATTTTCCGCAGTCTCCCCGGCTCTTACCCGCGGACCCATGCTCCAGATGTTTGTGATCCGTGTCCGCGCTCTGCTCGGCTCCCATGCTCTCGGTAATCCAACTAAAACTAAAAAATAACGCTAGTATTTAACACGGAAATGGCTGCGGGGTGACTTCACTCCATCTGCAGAGCTAGCTTACGCGGCTACACGCACGAAGAAAATTACTGCGTGTTAGTGTTGTTAAAGTGATAAACGCGGGTTAACCGCGTGTGTGATAGACATTTAAACCTTTTTTTATCTGTTTGTGTGAAGTGAAAAGATTGCGGGCTTCGGGACACTTCCGTAAACATGCGTCACGTGACCAGTCATAGTAACGTGAAGACGTTTCTAAACCATCAATTTTAAAACTAAATTAAAAAAAGTAAAACAATAAACAGCCTCCCGTTTCATGCATTTTAGTAATAATAATAATGATGTGTTTGTGTAAGAAAATATATGGAAGCCCGTTTCCGCCATGTAAAAAAAAAAAAGCAAACAGAAAGTCAACATTTTGAGTTTAAAACTCAAAATTACGACTTTTAAAAGTCAAAATTTCGACTTTAAAAGTCAAAATTTCGACTTTAAAAGTCAAAATTACGAGTTTTCAACTGCGCATGTGCAGTTGAAAACTCGTATGTGTTGTTGTCTGGAACGGTCTCTGGACGTCCTTCACCTGCAGATTATGTGAAGATATTGCCTACAGTGACCACTGCATCCTTGAAGTAGCCAGAAATAATGTTGTTTGATTGATTCTGTAAAACTTTCCTGTTTAAGCCCCAGACCGCGGTCGTAGGAGGCAGGGAGGAGCTGTCTTTTTATTTATTTATGTTAAATTAAATTTACATATATACAACATTTAAATCAAACGACTTCTTATTTCGACATAGTAACAAATAATGTGAGCAATACGTTTTTATAATAAATCAAAGAGCCATCGAGACATTCCAATCCAATCTGCATGATTCCAATCCAATCATCGTCTGACCAGACGATGACGTTGAGAGGGGTCCACACGGAGCGAGTATTTCCACGGCTGAAACGATGTGCTTTCTACGTGTTGAGTACGGGGTTTTATTCATGCATCTATAATGGGTTTAACTCCCTTTTCAAAGACCCTCACTGTTATCTGCGGAGTTATTTCTCCGGATTGTTGCTTAAAGATTCGTGGGCAATCAGACAAGGCACTTATTCCCTGTTGGTCTCTGTGTTCTTGCTCATACGCCAACAACTTTACCCCCGCGTGCACGCAAACACGTCACATACTCTTCAATGCACTGATCGCAATTCCAAAAGGGTAATATTGTCAGTGCCCGTGACTGTGGTTCTCCTGCCTCTGTCTGTGGTTCTCCTGCCTCTGTCTGCGGACCTCTCTCACTGTCCTGTCATCGCGAACGGTCTCTCTGTCAGTCACAATATCATTCACTGCATTTCTGGTGCATCCATCGATAGCCGTGATACTGACCAGATGTCACCAGTTGATGCTCAATGACTTTGAACAGCCACATGTGTTTTATTATTAATCTTCCACAGTCCGTTTAGGATAAACTAAATAGAGGCTTCTGAAGCGGATTCTAATCATAAACGGAGAGACCGTTTGCATTTTAATGCGATTACTGCCACAACATTATTGCTGCTACTTCATGGATGTGGTCACTGTCTGTAGGAAAAATCTTCACATAATCTGCAGGTAGAGGATGACCCATGGTCATAGATCTATAACAGGGATGACCAGAGACCGTTCCAGACAACAACACATACGAGTTTTCAACTGCACATGCGCAGTTGAAAACTCGTAATTTTGACTTTTAAAGTCAAAATTACGACTTTAAAAGTCAAAATTACGAGTTTTAAAGTCGAAATTTTGACTTTTAAAGTCGTAATTTTGACTTTTAAAGTCAACATTTTGAGTTTTAAAGTCGAAATTTTGAGTTTTAAAGTCAAAATGTTGACTTTCTGTAGGCTTTTTTTTTTTTTTTACATGGCGGAAACGGGCTTCCATAAAAATATAATTAAAACTAACAAAAAATTAAAAAGGTCTGTGTAACATTTTGAAAATGAACACTGAAAGAATACACAAAATGAATACAGTAATAACTATTATTTTTTATTTTCTTTCTCAACAGGACTGCCTCCCCTGACTGCCACTGTCACTGACAGACATTATTAACATATATACTCACCAGCCACATTATTATTTACACCTTGCCAGTACCGGGTTGGACCCCCTTGTAATCCTTCCTAGTCAGCCAATCACATGGCAGTAACTCAATGCATTTAGGCATGTAGACATGGTCAAAACAATCAGCTGCAGTTCAAACCGAACGTCAGAATGGAGAAGAAAGGTGATTTAAGTGACTTGTTTTTTGTTTTTTTTTTATTCATTTATTTGACAGGGACAATGTAGTCATACATAGTTACATTATGAAAATGCAGCTGATGCGACACATACAGAGTGTATAGCTAATGCTAATTTTCAACTCCTGTCCCTACGAACGTGGCATGGTTGTTGGTGCTAGACGGCTGGTCTGAGTATTTCAGAAACATGTTGCTTTCAAATATCGACAAAACTCTGAGGAATGTGTCCAGAACCTTGTAGAATCTATGCCACGAAAGACAATTCTGAAGGCAAAAGGGTACCCGGTACTAGCAAGATGTACATAATAAAGTGGCCAATGAGTGTATTTCTTGCACTGGAATATACAGTATTTTATACTTGCTTCTTTATATTTATACTAAAATATTATATATCTGTAATCTTAACTAATATATAATTATTTAAACAAATCTTTAAGGTTATAGATTTCTTTTTAAAGTACAGAGTGAATTAACTTGAGCTGTGTTCTTCATTCCTACTGTTCTGTGACTGGTGATGCAATACTGAAATTTACCCATTGCTGGACAAATAAGGGATCTCTTAAAACAGTCTCACTAAGTTGAGGTATACTTTGTTGTCTGTGGTATCTTTCTGATCTCTCAGAGATCTGTATCTAGCCTCTCTGGTCTCTAAAATAAGGAAGTAAGAAAATATAACTCAGCAAGAAAATATAACTCAGCAATGCTCTGAAAACTTTATTCCAATAAAATACAAAACTTGGACAAGTGCATTTTCCAGACGAGAAATCTAAACATTAGATTGTCTAGTGTAGAACGTGACGACAGCAGAAGTTAAAACCTGGAAATATAGATTAAATAAAAAAAACTCTGAACATATAAAACTAATTATATTTAATACAACAATAATATTTGTTTTTACAGTTTAGCTCTTAAGTTTTTTAACCATGGAACAGAACTGTAACAAGTGATGAGAGGTTGAACTGGTGTGTCTTATGGCGATGTGAGTGAGGAGGGCAATGTAGCGAGGAGGCGGCCATCCTGTGAGCTTTGCTGTTCGCTGTCGTCGTCGGTCAGCGGATACGGACGCAAATCCAGGGTCAGAATGCGACTGAACATCCACTCATCCAACTGCAGGGAAGAGTTTGAGACCTGAGTTTTTGGACAGAAGGGGCGGGGGGATGTAACTTTAGTCTCATATTTAATAAACCTTTAAGGCAGGGGTATGTCACTTTGGCCTTATAAATAACACATAAAAAGCTGGGGGATGTAACTTCAGTCTTGTTTCTGGTTTCTCTTAAGACACATGCACATAAAGACTAGCGATAGGACAAACTGTTTGAGCCAGAAACTAGAGACATGGGTTTAGTATAACAGACTAGCCTAAAGTTACAGTATGAACATCAGCTTTAAAACGTGGGATAGTGTGTTTTACATCAGAGTAGACTCCCAGCAGAGCGTCGGCTTTGGAGAAGAACTCCTCCTTCAGAGAGATGACGATGATCTGCAGATTGTGGCGAGACTCGTCCCGAATGAAGCTGGTCACCTGCGAAACACATGACGACAAGCAGACGAGACCTCAGTCCAGACGAGACAGGTTGTGTGCAGGTTTTTGAAATAAATATTGAAAGAATTGATTGAGACTGACTTTCCAGATGTTGGAGTTGTCCAGCGCTGCGTCCACTTCGTCCAAGATGAGGAAGGGAGCAGGCCGGTAGCTGGAAACACACATTTTAAGTTTGTGACAATAGTGAGATCTGACTGTGAGGTCCAGTCTGAGTTCAGACCTGTGGATGGCAAAGACCAGGGCGAGTGCGGCTACGGCCTTCTCTCCTCCAGACAGGTTGTCCATCGACATGAAGCGTTTCCCTGGAGCCACACAGTTATAAGTGATGCCTCCAAGATACGGCTCCTCCGGGTTCTCCGCACTCAGGATGGCCTTCAAGAGAATCCTGCTTTAGTCCTGCTCTAGACCTGGTCTAGCCTGGCACAGTCCTACCTGAGCGCTGCTGTTCCTGCACAGGCGTTTGTAAATCTGGTCGATCTTCACAGATACATGTTCGAAACACTGAGTGAAGAGGAGACAGCGCTGGTTCTTCACCGCCTCAAACTCCAGACTGCAGCGGCGCGTCACTCGGCTGCTGGCGTCGAAGGCTGTGGAGACACCAGAAAACTGCTCTTCTCACTGCTTTCAGTCGAGTCCAGTTCAAACAGCTTCAGACCTTCCACAATGTCCTGTAGCTTGTCCTTCACGTGCCTCATCTTCTCCAGAGCTTTGAGGTTTGGAGCTGCAGTACGACCGAGGACTTCCTCCAGATTCAGAACAGAGTCTGTGAGGCGCTCCACACATCCCTCCATGTCGGGCTCGTCCTGCAATCACCACGACAACCACAACCACCACACACCTTTCATATACGGTAAAACACAGATCTATTTCTATTTCTCTTATTATTATTGTTTTGAACCTCCAACCACCCGGCTCAACAAGAGTATTTCCAACAAAAAGAAAATGTTTTGAACAAATCAGAACAAACGCTGGCATCCCTGTGAGACACTATATGACTCTTGGGCTCTCGGGGTCTGAGGGTCTCTCTGATCCCTCTTTGGCCTCTCTGGTCTCTTTTTGCTCAATCTCTTTCTCACTTTTCTTTTATAACAAATTTACAATGTTTTGGTCTGAAAATAAAGCATCTCAGCTTTAACTATTGCTCCCATATAAACTTGTGCAAGGCTTAAAGACCCTCATTTATGAAACTTGCGTACAGCCAAATCAGGGTGTAAATGAGGCGTACGCAAAAAATGCACACTTTTTTGGCATTTATCAATCTGGAAGTGAGTGTACGGTACGCACAGAATATACACCGAGTCTGGAGGTGGTGTAAATGTGTACGTTCATCTCAACCTTCATCACAACACGCCAAAACACACATAAGTGGGAAAATAAACATATTCCCACTTGAAAATTATAAGCCGTGTTTTCATTGAACATTCAATTTTGAAATTTTAATTTGTGCATCAGAGAATGTCTAATGGAAACACGCAAATTTCTAATAAATCACATGACGAGGACCCTCTTCTGTTTCTCCGTTTTTAAATCTGACTTGTGGGTATTATTTTCATCTATGTTTTTTAAATGTGAAGCACTTTGTGATTGTGGTCTGTGAAAGGCGCTATACAAATATACTTGACTGACTTACTTAATGTGTGACCCATCTATTGGTCTGTAAATCTGGGGCAGGCCCTGCACTGCGCAATTACCCATGGCTATTTGTTTTGCCTCATTCACATCTGGCAAAGAAATGTTTTTTTTCATTAGTTTTGTGAAAACTTTACACACCTCAAAACGCACGGATGGATATCTACTTCTAAAGTTCAAGAGAGATTTTTGCAAGGTATCAAAAAAGTTTTGCAAATGTGTTCAATGAAAATATATTTCTAAACAAACAAGAACAAACTCAACTCTTTAGAATTGCATGCCACAGGCCTTTTGAGGCTTCCAAACAGTCTTCTTGGCCGACTTACATTCTGACCTGTTGCAAAAACGGGGGGTGAAACAGGCGGCTGCTGCATATTTATAGGTGTGACTTTCATCAGCCGCAGCATTTATCAACAGCTGCAGGTGCTCACACTCAGATCTGGGCGGATCTCACACGTTCACAAATCCCACGTTGGATCTTGCGTTTTTGGAATCTACACCCAAACTATACACCCTTTTCTGAGCAAGTTTCATAAATGAGGGCCAAAGTGAGCAGGAGGTGCAGGAGTGTTGTGTGTATCTCACCTGGATGTCCTGTCGGAGCTCAGAGTAGTCGATCTGAGCCTCTCTCTCATAGATCTCCATTGTGGATAGAGTGCTCTCCGACTCCTGGAACACACACAAGGTGTAGTAGCAGCAGCAGCAGCAGCAGCAGCAGCAGCAGCAGCAGCAGCAGCAGCAGCAGCAGCAGCAGCAGCAGCAGCAGCAGTAGTACCTGGCACAGATGGCTCAGGTCTCCTGACAGCAGCCTGATGTTCAGTCCCTGGATCTTGCAGCTCAGCAGCAGGTTGTGTCTGAAGAGTCTCCTCTGCTCCAGATCTGACTCCAAAGACATGAGGTCTGTCTGCAGCTTCAGCAGCTCTCTGAGGGGGAGAGGGGAGAGACAAGAGTGAGAGAGGGGAGAGACAGGCGTGAGAGGGGTGAGACAGGAGTGAGAGAGGGGTGTGTGTCTTCAGTATGAACCAAACTGTGGGATCGAAGTTGATTTATCAATCTAATTTGCCTATTGTGAGATCATCAAGGTGGCGGCCATATTGGAAAATGTAAATGTACTTATTAAGATTTATAAAAGCTGTAGTTTGTGAGTATTTTGAGATCAGGAAATACTGTCAACAATTTTATTATGATGTGAATATTGGATAGAAAAAATGCACTGATCCAATTTATAAATAATATTTTAGCACTGGTCGGTGGCCATATAGAATTGTATTATTTTCAAAGACCTTCAATGATCAAGATGGCTCTGATTACCAGTCATGAAATCTATGGTTTGGTTTCAATTTTTCCAATTCAAAGAACTGGTGGGCATACTGTTTGAAATTAATGGGCTCAGAACTTTTCTGATCCACTTTTGTGGATCCTCTTCTCTCAAGAACTGCCTTCATCATCATCATCATCATCGCCGTTGGTAAAGGAAGTGAACGCAATTAGCAATGTCTACGTCTGCCTTTCACCCACATGTGTGGTGTTATGATCCCCCTGCCTCCTCGACCACGTCCCCTGTTTTTCGTTCGCAGAGTAGTCCACAATCAGCCACAGTTTATGTCAAGCATAAACTGTGGCTGATTGAGGACTATGGCGCACGGACTCCTGTCACTAATAATGTCAGTGTCTGCTTCACTGGACACCTGCGTGACTTCCTCCTCTGAATCTGAGTCAGTCTGTACCTGACCATGTACTTCTCTGGTACTGACGGCCTTTTGAGTAAATCTCTCTTTACCTAATCTGCTCTAGGTCCGCTCAGCTCTACTGCTTCTGCTTCGCATCCACTGCGCTGCAAGTGTTTTACAAACAAATTTTACTCTAAAACTTTCAGTACAACCACACCCACAAATGCAGCTCAGATTAAAGGCACACATGTCCAATAACTCTTACTTTTGAATGCAGCAGCAAGTCTAAGCAAGTCTTAAGTAGCTTTGTAACAGTGTTTGTTTTTGTGTTTTACAATTGTTATTTTTATTGCTTTTTTCTACCTGAGAAATTACTGCAGTACAGTGTTTAGAGATACACCGATCCAGCTTTTTTACTACCGATACCGATACCAGAGCTATGGGTTTCTGCCGATACCAATATTGACCGATACCGGAAATGATCATGCTAAAATGTATTTAATAATTGAACTCTCTGCAAAAGCAGTGGATGAACTAAAGCGCTAAACTTTCCAGATAAAAATGGATTCAACATAAATGTGCAATAATGCATCTATAAAGAGCTGCTCAATGTTCAAATTAAACATTCCAACACTGTATTATACCTTATACATTTATTTAATATAAATGTACTTATATTAACTGTGTTTGAATAAATAAACACTTACAACAAACAAAAAAATGTATGCATGAAAATGTAAATAAATAATAGTACCGTAGCTTTAACTGGATTTCAGATATGTATTTGGCGACGGCATGTACCTGGGTTCCAAATGGTCCATGGGGCTGCGAGCCCAAACTGATGAACTCCAACACTTTCGGGTTGTTGCTGAAAAGCTTTTTGTGACGCTGCGTCAGTGTCATCTGTGTCTCGTTGTTTTCACGTAATCTCCTTTCGATGCAAAAACTATCGATACCAGTATCGGATCGGTGCATCCCTAACAGTGTTCATGGTCTCGCATTGGTCCAGACCAGAGCAGAGAGGATTCATGGTACGAAACAAGCGTATCAGGCGAGGAGCCACTGGAGGAAGGCTATCTTTTTGAATAAGGCTAACAACTTTGGACCAGAGCAGAAAATGGTCCGAAACAAGCGGCTTCACCCCCATAATCAGATCCTCTGCAGATGTGTCCTATATTGTGCAATTCATGATAATAGCTTCTTCCGGGTTTGCTGCAATCGCTGTTTTTGTCCATAAAAACATTATTTATTTCATTAAAACGTTAACAAATAATTCTGAAAACCTCCGTGCATGTGTATTAATGATGTATATGTATAATGTGTTCTCTGATTAACATTTAAAAGTGTTACGGAAACGTAGGTGTAGACCAATCAGAAAGGAAGGGGGAGGGAGCTTGCGTCGTTTTTTTCAAATCAAGTACCTCTCTGTCTCTCTTTTTCTGACAAACTCCAGACAATCACTTTAATAATCAAATAATATTTAAATCTATTTTGACCACTCAATGCTTGTAATATCTTTTTTCGCTGGCCACACAGCAGATTTTCTAAAACTCATGCAGCTGAAATTAGTGGACGCACGTCCATGCGTCGGCGGTCTGAATGCAGTATAATATTTGAATATTAAGGCTGTATAATATTCATTTGAATGTCATTATTTTTGTTAATATTCGAATTATGTTCGAATATCAAATTTTGTTTTCCCAGCCCTAATGTGTATGTATGTGTAGGTCTGTGTGTGTGCGTGTCTCACTTCTTCACGGCCTGCAGTTTGTGTACGTGTATATGTATGTGTGTGTGTGTACATATATATGTATGTGTCTCACTTCTTTACGGCCTGCAGTCTGTGTGTCTTCAGCTCCAGCTCAGTCTTGGCGTTGGAAACCTGCTTTTTCTTTGACTCAAGTTGGTTTTTCACATCCTGCAGTTTGTTCTGTGCCTCCTCCACCGCAGACAACAGACTCTCCTCGTCCTGGAGTCATTCCGGAAACACAAACAGAGCGTGTTCTAAATCCTTTAGTAGCAGCTTTCTAACCACTTGAACTCTCGACTGCTGAAGTGCAATTGCAGTTAGCAAACTATGAGCGCTGCTGCAGCTGTCAAGCGCTGTGCATACACTATAAAATACAGCTGCAGAGGACACCGCGCTGAAGGGCAGGAGCAGGACTGAGGGCTATGGGAGACCATGGTAGTCCTCTGACCTAATCACTGAGGTGCATACAAGCCACAAAAGTTTTTTTCTGACTTTTGTGGCACCACCCTCCCAGCTTCTTCAATCCTGCATGACAACCTGAGTCCTGGAGCTTGTCTGTCCATGGGAGTGGATCCTTGTATAGGCAGGGGAGTCTAAGGACAGTGATTTTCCAAGACATTTCTGCCCCTTTATTAACATTTCGGGACAGTGGTCAACCCGCTCTCTATGAAGCAACAAGCTTACATTAATCCAATCCCCTCCAAAAATAAAGTATTTCGATGTTCAATCTCTGCTTTTGATATTTCATTCAAGTCACTTAGTGTAAATGACACGATGATCACGTGCAGTGGAAATAACTATAGCTTCAACGTTCGGGCAGCGTTTTCCCCAACACCTGCTGAAGCAGAAAGCCTAGTGCAGCGGCATGCGTAGGCTGACGCAGGAATGATTTCAGGTATGTGCCCGTGGTAGAAGCCTGGAAGCGTGAATAAAGCATGCTGAAAAAACTGTGCGTCCAAAATATGACTGTTTTTGCAGTGCAGTGACACAGCTTTCAGTCAAAATACATAATCGCATTAATAATAAGAAACATGATGCCGTTAATGGGTTTGTACACACACGTATGGTGGTCAGACCTGGTCCAGCTCCTCCACTGCGTGCTGCTGTCTCTCCAGCGTCTCCTGCAGCTGCTGCAGTTTCTTTTTCTGCTCCTGTAGTTGGTTGTGTTCATATTCCAGCACTGCGTTCAGACGGGCAAGTTGATTTTCAAACTCCAGCCTGCAGGGGGCAGCACACAACTTTAGCCTGACGTTTTAAAGCTGGGGTATGTAAATTTCAGACCAAAATTGAAAATCCATGTCACTAGTTCTGGATCTAAAACAGTTTATTTCACATACATGTATTTCTGGACCACCCTCAATCAGCTCTCTGCCCAAAGAGGCAAATAGTGACTCACAGGTTTCTATCTTACCTATAACATGTTTTCCAATTACAGAGAGGGACCAGACTGAGAGCAGAGAGACAGACCAGAGAGTGAGACCAAAGAGGAACCAGTGTGTAGCTGCAGTCACCTCTTCCTGTCGTGCTCCGTGTGGTACTTCAGATCCTCCTGCTCATATTCTCGGATGCTTCCCACACCGATCTCTTCGCAGAAACCAGCGAACACCACGTCCTCCGTCTGAAGACCACATTCAGAATATTAACACAATCCATTGAAGGTGTTTTGTAACTTTGTTGAACTGTGATGACAGGTGAAGTAATTGCGAAATGTCTGTACTGCTACCTGTACTTATACATCCAAATCAAGCCCCGGAGATCCAAGATGGCGTCCTGTTCAAATCAATGGCTTTTGCTCAGTAGCGCATGTGCCACCATGGGCACCGAAAGATAAGCATAACTTGCGCAGTGGACGAGCTCCCATGATGCTTAGCGCCAAATATGTGTGCGTGGCTCTCATGCACGTGCACAGAGGGGCTCGGCTGCGCTCTGACCAATCAGCGGCTGTTGATCGAGCAGAGTTTGTGGCACTTAAGTGTGGATTTATAGAAAACCGAAGGATTTAAGAAGAAAAAAAGATGACAAGAGTGTTGTATCACAAGGGACACTAAAATCCCCACAAAATTCGACCTTTATGAAAGAGGGAGATCCTTTGTCAGCTGAGATTGAGCTGTTTTAGTTTACATTGAGCTCTACGGGGAAAATGTCTGGGTAGCCCTCCTGAATTTAGTCTTGTTTATCTTAAATCAAGATAAACTTCACATGTACTTCTTTGCATTTATTTTGTAACAACCATAAGCAGGTTCAACATACAACTGGCCTTTCACGGTTCACATAGACAGGGAACATGTTAGTATACAAAGAGGGCTAGAGCCCCCTAGCTGTAGGGCATGGAAGGTGAACATTAAACCAAGAGCTAACAGTTTAGTCTGCAGTACTGCAAGACTCCCCACATGGGTCCTTCAGCTCCAAGCTAGTAATATCCTATTCAACCAGTGAGTGGATGCAAAACAACTTCCTTCAGCTAAACGCAGACCAAACTGAAATTATTGTTTTGGGTCCCCAGAAACAAAGAGAGAGCGTCATCTGTCACCTCCAGTCTCTCTCCCTAAAACCTTCAAACAAGGTCAGAAATCTAGGGGTAATACTGGACTCAGAATTACATTTTAATAGCCCCATCATAGCAGTAACATCAGCAGCTTTTTACCATCTAAAAAACATTGCCAGGATCAAAAACATAGTGTCTAAAGCAGACTTAGAGATTCTTATCCATGCATTTGTCTCCAGTAGGTTAGACTACTGCAATGGCCTGCTCACAGGTCTGTCCAAACAGGCTGTAAAACAGCTGCAGTACATTCAAAACGCAGCAGCTCGAGTCCTGACTAGAACCAGGAAGTACGACCACATTAGTCCAGTCCTCAGGTCTCTGCACTGGCTTCCTGTGGCTCAGAGAATAGACTTTAAAACAGCTCTGCTTGTGTACAAGTCTCTCCATGGCCTCGCACCAAAATATATTAGTGACATGTTAGTCCCATATGAACCAGCCCGGACTCTGAGGAGCACAGGGACTGGACTCCTGTTAGTGCCCAGAGTCAGAACTAAACATGGGGAGGCTGCTTTTCAGATTCATGCTGCTAAAATCTGGAACAGTCTTCCTGAAGATGTGAGACAGGCCTCCTCTCTGACAATGTTTAAAACCAGGTTAAAGACAGTCCTGTTTAGCTGTGCATACAACTGAGGGATTTCATATTTTTATCTTGCTTTTTAATGTACTGTGATTATTATGATTTTAATGCTATCTTGTTTTGTTCAGCACTTTTAATTGCCTTGTGTATGAATTGTGCTATACAAATAAACTTGCCTTGCCAGATATTATAATAGATCCATGATCCAAATACACTTGGATATTCGCATGGCTGTTTCCTGTGCTCGTAAATGCATCTGCTTGTCTTGTCTTAGTATCTAACCTTCAACATAATGCCAAATTACTTCTCAGTTAAGTTTCCTTCTTAAGGCCACACTATTTGAGATTGAATTTCTTTTTGAAACGGATGACAGTGAGTGGTCTGCACCTGTTGGATCTGCTCCCGGATGGACTCCAGCTGCTGCTGTTTCTCCCCCAGACTCTCCTCCTGCATCAGGATCTCAGACTCCAGGTTTGAGAGGTCACTGTCCAGACGGGAGACGTCCTGTAGACAGACATAGGGCCATATGTGAGAGTGTGAGGAGGAGAGGTGAAGGACTAGAGCAGCTGTATCCAATCAAAACATACACAGAAGCAAACGTAAGAGTAAGGAGAGAGACAGGCGAACCAGGATCTTGGACATTCTTACCGCCTGTATCTTGGGCAGAGTCCTCTTTCTCACTGACTCCAGATCTGCAGATGAATACTTTAGTCGTGTCTGAGCTCCATGACACTCGGCCTGGATCTGTCTGAGCTCGGACTCCTTCCTCCTCAGCTTCATCAACTCCTGGACACAAGCAAAGAAGAAACAGGATGTCCTGTTCTAGTTCATCTGAGCCAAAATGTCCTGTCCTTAGCTTCTGTCCATGTTCGAGTAAAGCCTGGAGGGGCTTCCAGGATGTTCCATGTTCCATGTCCAGAGCTCAGAGCAATGGCGAGGGAATGGATACATAAGTAGGGGCTTGTTTCAATCGTTAAAGCGTTTTTAATCGATATGAGATGTTGTGCAGGTATAAGATTGATCTAAAGGCGGCACTGCAGAGCTGCGGAGACAGAGGGCGGTCCTGTGTCTGATGCAGAATGTACACAATTAGAGTACACATCATCACCAAAGGCCAAAACTACAGCTTCACAAACAGACCAGACATTTGTTAGAATGATTAGTCACTTCAATAGGGGTGGGAACCTCGGGGTACCTCACTATACGATACGATACGCAATACAAAGCTCACGACAACAATTATATCACAATATGACGATTATCGATATATTGGTCGGAAATATACCATATGCCAATTTATGGCATAAATAAAAGAAAAATGTTAAGTGAAAAAATACACTTTATTTCATGATAAATGGAATGGAGATGCGTAATGTAGTCATATATTAAGTATTGATACTAATAAAAAAAAAAAAAACTAGACTTGGTAAATGCATATCAATAATCGATCGCGGGAGAAAGTATCACGATATATCGTTATATTGTCACACTCCTAATCTTCAATGTCCAGTTTCATCTAGTATTAAAGGAATAGTTCACCGTTTTTACATACTGACATATGTTCTTACCTTACCTTAGACTAGTTAATACGTACCTGTGTGATCTTAGTCCGTGCGCTCTGTCATGCAAACGGAGCAAAAACGGGAGGACAAATGCAGCCTCCTCTGTATAGTGTGTAGCACCAAAAGGTAGCTCCCGCTAGAAGCTACCAAACTCTTCCAAGTGTTCCCTATTAAATGTATATAGTTACGTGACGTGTTACACTGCAAAGTATAGTAACACAGAAATGTAACTGTCGATTTTCTCAGCGGATAAAACGGGTACTATATTGTGAGGCGTAGTAATCTGAGGTGCGCTACGTCCGCGCACTAACTTCTGTCCGGAGACTTCTCTCTCGCTCACTTCAGTCAATAGAAGCAGCGTGACTTGTAGTACAGAGAGAAGTTAGTGCGCGGACGTAGCGCTTCTCAGATTACTACGCCTCACAATATAGTACCCGTTTTATCCGCTGAGAAAATCGACAGTTACATTTCTGTGTTACTATACTTTGCAGTGTAACACGTCACGTAACTATATACATTTAATAGGGAACACTTGGAAGAGTTTGGTAGCTTCTAGCGGGAGCTACCTTTTGGTGCTACACAGTATACAGAGGAGGCTGCATTTGTGCTCCCGTTTTTGCTCCGTTTGCATGACAGAGCGCACGGACTAAGATCACACAGGTACGTATTAACTAGTCTAAGGTAAGGTAAGAACATATGTCAGTATGTAAAAACGGTGAACTATTCCTTTAATACAGAAGTGTTCTGAAACAGCCTGTTGAATGGTTAGGGTTAGAGCTGGTGTAGGTAACTCTGAAGCTAGGGTATGTAACTTTGAAGCTGGGGCACCATATATTTGTGTGTGAAGGGGAGGCTAGGAGTGCTCAGTGGCTCAATTACATTAGAAACCAGTGCTCTTCTGATAGGGAAAGCTAAATGTGTTTAAGGAAAACAAAAGTTCCTAGTTTTAATACTTTTCAACTTAGGGCTTGTGTTGGAGTATTAAACTAAGAACCTTTTGCATCTATCGGTGTGACTCTGACTATTAAATATATTTGTGTGCGTTGAGCTCACGCTGAACTCTTTCTTGAGGTCTTCTTTCCGATCTTTCAGCTCCTTCACTTCAGCATCATCCCAGCAGCGAGCTTTACTGCGCAGGTCACTGGAGCCTCCGGAAATCACCCCCGACTTAGCAAACATGGTCCCGTCCAGAGCAACCGTCTGTGACAGAGAGCACACCCTGAGAAAAAATCTGAGACGCTCCAACACAAGTTTTTCTGTGATCAAAAGCTCTAATAAAGCAGGCTCATTAGGGCAGTGACAGTGGAGTGGCATGGCAGCCGTTACGGTGTATTATTCCTGTATACAATAATGTGGCAGTAGTTCCTGACCTTGCGTCGCTCGTGGCTGTTGAAGGCCAGTGCTCGGGCCTCTTTGATGCTCTCACAGATCAGCGTGTTCTCACAGACAAACTGCACCACTCTGCGCAGCTGTGGAACAATGGAGGCAGCATTCACCTGCACACACCAATAGAAAACAGCTCTGTGTCTGTCATAACCTAACCCTGAAATGGAACACACTAACCAGGTTGTTAAAGGACAACTAAACACCAAATCAACTTTTTTTAACTCATAAACTGCATAAGTGTTTCTTATTGTGCTCTCTGCACATCCTGGTAATTTCTTTGACATTTTTGTGCAAATTAGATAAAATCTCCCTCTCTACCTTTTTGGTGGCACTAGATTTGAATTTTGTGCCTGGCCTCTCCATTGGTTCTGGAGTACTGTGTGACGTCAGTTGGTGTGTGTGACGTGCATCTCTCTGCACCAGTGATATAAACCCATTAACTCTCACACACCCCAGCAGCAGGTTGGAGTATTCAGGCGACATCTAGTGTATTAATATTAAATTACATCAGTTGACCGCCACTACTGCTGAGATAATTATGTGGCTTAGGTTCAGGTGTGTAGCTCTGCAATTATCTTAGTGTGTAAACAAGGGAATAAGAATTTCTGGTGTGTAAACTATTGCTGTAAGCAGCAATGACAACTGTCTGTCAATCACAGCCCAGACCACGTCCAACTTGAAACCCCCTTTCTTGTTCCCTGGCCCTACAGGCAACGCCCTTTGAGAGAAAAAATTTCAAATGTTCATGTGGGCTGAGTAAGGCTGGCCACTTTTTAGTCGCTCTTTAAGAAAGCTTCTCAGCATCTCTCTTTTTTTCTGTGGAAACTTAGAGAATTCACCACAAACTCTAAGATTCTGGATAACTTTTATTGGTATACTAGTGAAAGCTTGCTTGTTGATTCTGTGATTGTGATTAAGCAACATCAAAGCTAAAGAAAAGAGAACTCTAAACAAGGTGCTCCGCTCTGAAAAAGGAATGTGAGCTCTGAGGTTCTTTTTGGATCAATGAATCTGGCATAAGATATTGTTGGGTGAGATGCAGGACATCTCGATATACTAACGGATTCTTTCCACAAGCTGTTATCAGTTTGAACAAAGCACTTGTACTTATTAATATTTAATCACAAACAATGAATTTAATGTACATGCAATTAACATGTGAGAATACTGTTTCCAATGTATGTTTAAGTGGCTAAGCTCCCGTTTTTATGGTGTTTAGTCAGTGTCCTAAAACAGCATATGTAGCTCTACATTTACATTGACATTGTCACTCTATGGTGTTGTTTTTGGTTACTGTTTATACTATATTGATAATGACTGAATATGTACTGATCTTTACAATACAGTAAGGGTAAAATAGTATTATTGAACATTGTAGTTTGAATAAGATTGATAGCATTGCTATTTATGGATGAGATATATTATGATTCTTATTGTAATATTATATGTATCATTGATTATATGTGCACATTAGCCTGAGTGATTTTAGCTTTAAACAACTAGCTTGGATCAGAACTAAACTGGTACCTGGTTATTTATTGGAGCTTTGGTCTTGTTCTCAAGGGCCATGGTTCCTACTAATTCGATGATGGCGAGCTAGAAAGGAGCAGGCAGAGAGCCTATAGTCTGGCACTCCGCTGAAGAAACGGAATTACCTCTCCTGCCGGGCTGGTAGGGGGCTCCTTGTAGCCCACGAACTCTCCCCACACACCTCTCACTGCCCACACACATTATTCCCCCCATAAACTAAAGACAATTCCCCCTTGGACATTCACATTATAACCCAGACGTGGGTTCTCCATGGGACTTGTGGAGGGGTCGGGAAGTGTGTTGAATCCCTCAGCTTTGAGGGTTCCCAAGTTGTGGGTTCTGGACTTTTTTTGTTCTTTTTGAAATATGTCCGATGATTGAGTGTTATTTCAACAGCTGCATTGAATCATTGTTGCTATTGTACTTTTATTACTGAATGGCCATTCTATCTATACTTGGTGTACACTGTAAATGTTTTTGCACGGTTTTCTCATCTTTATTACTAAATGCAAAAAGTTATTCCGTCTCCTGTCCACTCCCTCCTAGAGCCGTAACTAGACTTCTGTTACTAGCCCAGACTTTCAATTGTGTTACCTGTTTTCTTTGACTCATATTCATTAGTCTCAACATTTAATCAGGCCACAGGTGCTACATGTTGGTTTCACAGTGACAATTGTTTCTTGTACTTTTTAGCTTGTTTTATCTATGTTCTTGTCTGGTGCACACTGGGGACTTTTGAACATGTACGCCAATGTGTTTTACTCCAAATGGCAAATAAACTGAATTTGATCTGAAATAGCCACAGTTCATCCTAGTCTTTTTCAGACTGTTTATGAAAAAATTTAACAATTAGCAGAACTTATTTCACAGTGTTTTGTTTATTTACAATCGTGAACATGATTTTTGACATCTGCTTGTAGTTTGTGTTGTCTTGCGGGTGCTGGTCACTGCAGCGAGTGACGAGCGGCTCTCGGGCTCTCCATACACCAGCCAAGTGCTCAGAAACGCATTGACTACACCAGGGATCTCCAACCTTTTTCAATTGGAGAGCTACTTTCATACAACAGAAGAGGCAAAGAGCTACTCTTTTTTAAACCTTTATGTAATAATTACGACAAGAAATGGAAAACAGATGTTAAAAAAATACCATAACACTGCATAACCTTATACATATAATAGATATGTAATGAGTCAAAAGTGAAACATTCAAGATCATGTATTAAATTCTAAATCCTTTGGGTATCTACCTGAAAGGGGCTGGCGAGCTACTGTTAGCTACCAAGCTACAGGTTGGAGACCCCTGGACTGCAGTGATGCACTCACTGGGCCTCATGAATGAAAGTTGCGTAGAAAAGGGTGTATATTTTGGGTGTATAATCCATTTACGCAAGATCCGACGTGGCATTTATGAACGTGTGAGATATGCACAGATCTGAGCGTACGCACCTGCGGCTGTTGATAAATAACGCGCTCGAAACCAGCGTATTTATAAAAGTCACGCCTAGAAATATTCAGAAACTGCCTGTTCCACGCCCTGTTTTTGCGACAGGTCAGCAGGAAGTCGGCTCAGAAGACTGGGCCTCATTCACGAATAACTTCGTAAAAAACTAAAATTTCTTCTCAAGTCGTTCTTCAGTAGATTTCTAAGAAGACCCTACGTGGGATTCATCAACGCGCTCGTAAGCCGCTGAATTGTTTGCAGCTGTTCTCTCAGATTGATGAATGCCAACTCCTCGTAAGTAGAGCGCGCGTGCCCGGTGCTTCCTTAGCATAGGTAACCGCCCATTAATGCCCATAAAAGGGACTGCAGGGCCGTGTACAGACGCCAGAGGAAACAGCAACAGGCCTAAAGCAAAGAGTCACCCTTTTTTCTTCTTTTGCCAGACTAGGAATAAAGTCATAAAATGTTGACTTAAAAGTCGAAATATTTTGAGAATAAAGTTGAACTAGCAAAATGATGAGATTAATCTCAAAATGTTATGAGATTAATTTAAAAATATATTATGTTTTAATTTAAAAATGAATCTCAAAATGTTATGAGATTAATCTAAAAGTATTTTGGACCCTGAGAGGAGATCCAGCGCTGAGACCAATGCAGACCCGAGGAGAGACTGGAGAGACCAGCACACAGAAACCAGAGCGGACTGAGGAGACACCGCATAGACTGAGACCAGCGCGGACCGAAGAGAGACCGCATAGACTGAGACCAGCGCGGACCGAGGAGAGACCGCATAGACTGAGACCAGCGCGGACCGAGGAGGGACCGCATAGACTGAGACCAGCGCGGACCGAGGAGAGACCGCATAGACTGAGACCAGCGCGGACCGAAGAGAGACCGCATAGACTGAGACCAGCGCGGACCAAAGAAAGACCGCATAGACTGAGACCAGCGCGGACCGCATGAGACCAGCATGAGACCAGCGCGGACCGAAGAGAGACCGCAGCGACTGGAGAGACCATATGGAGAGACCAGCGCGGTCCTCCTGCTGCAGCAGTATATATTCCGTTGTTTTGTGACCCGTGGATGGATAAATGTCCCCTATCAATAGGATGGGGTCATTATCAATGTATTTGATAAAGCGTTGGCGCATTAAGTTTACAAATGAATTTAAAAAATGACTAATTTACCATAAACAATGAAATAAATAAATACATACATCAATATGGCAAACATATCACTGTAATGTTGTATTTTATTGAACTTCACAACACGAGCGTGCGAACATGTCGGCACTGAATGTGCGTAAGAGTGCTCCTGAGCACTCGTAGGATGTGTACTTACCCAAGAAAAATTCTGCTTACGAGAAATATTCGTGAATGCCACATTCTTCGTAAAATCCTCGTAAGTAGGATTTACGCACAAATTTGTTCGTGAATGAGGCCCACTGTTTGGAAGCCTCAAAAAACACACACTTCTGAGATTATTCACGTTTAAAAATATGTATATATACGCTCTATTAGATATACGCGTTTTTCCCTAGTGTCTAGACCCACTGCAGCACTCATCTCTCCTGAAATTAAAATAAATAAATAATAATGAATGAATGAATGAATAAATGAACCAGTTCCCACATGCGCGTAGCATCCTATCTTTGCTGCGGAGAACAGGGCAGTGGATGAGCAGTTTTGAGCAAGATCAATTGCGTTTATGGGGCTTTATGCACAAAACTAAGGAAAACCCACATTGCTTTGCCAGAGGTGAATGAGGCAAAACATATGCGTAATTACGTATATGGCGCAGGGTCTGGTTAGTGAGTAAACGGCTAAGGAAAAATAACTTCTCGGAGCAGGAGATTGAGACCATTATGAACGAAGTGGGAAAAAGAATAAAGTCTTACTATTTGGAATTCTCAAAAGTGGCATCGAGGGGCTCAAAAAACAATATATGGAAAGAAATGACAGCATCTGTAAACAGCGTGGGGCCTGTAACACGCACTCCTGAAGAGGTGAGTTTGTTCATGTTCGAAGAAAAATACGCTATATTATGTCAAACAGTTGATATATTGGGCCAATAGTAATAATTCATTAATTTATGCTACAAGTGAAAAAAAAGGGAGCAACCTTAAAATGGTAACAAAAAGGCGTTTAGTTGCCCATAGAAGAAGTGCCCAGCAGCCCAGGGGGAGGACCGCCTGACCAAAGCATCCAAAAGAAAATATAAAGAAATAAAATTATCTTCAAATTATGTATGTGATTATTATTTTAAAATGGTTGAATGAGAGCCTGTCTGAGCTGTACAGGCCGAAGGCGGTGCTGGCCATGGTCTCTCATCCATGGGCTGCTCCACCAGTGGCACACTGTGGTCCTGTACCTGTCCTGAGCCAGGAGGACCATGTGGCACACTTTGCTTGGACCCGCATGAACCAATGCCATTACGCACTGATTGTAGGTGCATATAATAATCCACACATTTGTGGGAGACTAAGTTTGACATCTTGCAAGTTATTTAATAACACAAACTAGCCCTAACATAACATTGTAAAATTGCATATTTGTAATGAGAGAGCTGTGCCAATAATCTTGTCAGAGTGGGAATATGTTTATTTTAGGGCTGTCAAAATGATCGCGTTAACGCACGTTAATTAATTTTTTTCATTAATCACGTTAAAAAAATTAACGCATTTGACGCATGCCCATGCGTCCCATAGTAACACTCAGAATGTCGCGGACATATGCGTGTGTAAGATGGGGACAGAGCAGAGATTCCTATGGGAATTCAAGTTTTGAAAGAATACACGCGTGACCGCGGGGCACTTGTTGTTTCCTGTATGAACTCTGCATGATGAGCTGCGGGCCCGACAGCGCTCTGGACAGTTCCCACTTCCAGCGGCTGTGATCGCGGCGAACGGCGCTGCGTAATGGGATCATATCCAAGACCACGCACAGAACTATTACAGAACTATTCTCTAGTGTGCGTACGTGTCTTTGCGTAACCGATGCACACAATATGTACAGCGCTGAAGCTGGACTGCGGAGCCTCAGTCTCCTCCGTGTCTTCTCCCGAAGCGCACTCGCGAAATTAAAGCTGAGGTACCTAATTTTTCTTTCGACTTCCAGTTCATGTTAGTTGTGCCAAAAAAGTAATGGTGTGAGCAAATCAAACAGATTTAATGACATTCTGCTTCAGACTGTTTTGAAATGTCCCTCATCTGTAACAAACAATGGTTTTGGTCTGAGTCTAAACAGAAAGACAGAATGTTAATAATGTTAATTCCATTTTATTGATTGACTGCGGAACCTTCCGCAGTCAACCATTGGTTTTGTATTTCTTTATTCCGTCATTTTTTTTGACACGTTTCACAGCTTTCACATTTTCAACAATTTCCACAAGTTATACATCAAAACGTTCCACATGTTTGGGAGATTATTGCTATTACTTTTGGGACTTCAGCGATTTCCGGTTTTTCCGCAATCGGACAAAAATCTGCATTGAGAATTCTGCAATGCATTTTAATAGGCCCATGCATTTTAATAGGACTTCAGCTCTTTCAGACATTTCTACAGTTTCAATGATTCAACAGTTTCAAGGATTCAACAGTTTCAAGGATTTCAGCAGTTTCAAGATTTCAAGAGTTTCAAGGACTTCAACAGTTTCAAGGACTTCAGCAGTTTCAAGGACTTCAGCAGTTTCAAGGACTTCAGCAGTTTCAAGGACTTCAGTGTAATCATGCAACCTAATAGGGATTTTTCCATGTAAACCAGTATAATGCAACTTAATAGGGATTTTTCCATGTAAACCAGTATAATGCAACTTAATAGGGTTTTTTCATGT